CCTTCCTTCGCGCACTTTCCCCTCACAGCATTAAGCAGACACACTTCCTGCTCTTTCAAATACACTTCCTCACAGGAAAAACTGCAGTAGACAAGAGAAAACAAGAAAAACAGGGCAATTTTCATTTTTTCGACATTTTCTGAATAATTAAGATACATTAAGAAGCTTCAAATAAAATAAATTGAATTTTTAGTCCCATTTCCAAAATCTGAACTAAATATCCGTGATGAGCTTGACGACTTCCTTAAACAGCTCGCTAAAATGTGGGAACAACCCAGCCTATTTTTCCATTTGGGTTTCTCTTCAAACTTCACAAAAAGCGATGCAACTTCATCAAGTAAAAACGAGGTTTCTTTGGCAAAACAAGAACTTACATCATTGCGCAAATATGCAGCCTCATTTCCTCATGAACAACAACAAAAATACAATTTAAGGCAGAAACGAGCACCCGTCCTTGCTATTGCAGCCATAGCATCAGTTAGACTTTTCGGAGGCGGAATTCTACTAGGAAAAACAGCAGATTGTGGATTACGAGGAATTTTTGGACCTTGCAATGACAAGTCTAAAGAAAATGCTGAAAACATTGTCAGAATCTCCGACTTCGCCAGCCAATAGCTGAAAACGTCTATATACTTGCAGAAAATGCAGATGTATGGTAACAAGTGAATTGAACTCGATCAAACAGACACAAGATGAAATGATACAAATCCAAAATCGAAACTGGGTGGTAATTCAAGAAGTATTCAAACAAAAAGAGGCTTGATGATGAAAACAGAGTGACCAATCTTTACTGATAACTTTTTAAAATAAATTCGATGAGCGTAAACAATAACCAATAGAGTGATCAGCTTGATAATCAAGAGTGATCAGCTTGATTTGAATTAAAAGTCTCTGCCGAAACTTCTTTCTGTTGCCTCTGAACTTTTTACAGGAATACCGCCCTTCGATCAACGACATCCGATATAACTCTCGGGTACAGAACTTCCCTCGTCAATTGGAAAGCGACTTCTGTAATAGCAAACTCGGTAACATTCAGAGCAACCTTCAGAGACCTCATAGAATTATATTGAGTTTTGACAAATGCCAATTATTTTTGCCATTACGCCAATTGTTTGTTGCCTTATGTAAACAATAAAGAGTTCTAATTAAGAGAGCAGTATTAAAGAGAGATTCAGTAAAACTACCAGCTTTGATGACTAAAATTGAGTTTTTGTAATCAATTTTATTCAAAACAGAGTTCAGACATATAGAGTGATCAGCTTGATAATCAAGAGTGATCCGCTTGAAGGGGTAACCATCACGAGGCACATCCCTGAGATGAAGGTACTGTGATATTCAGCCAGACACGACATGAGCTACGTAATACACAATCAATCCAGAAATTATATTCTAATCGACCAAGCCATCAATGGTATATAATATTGGTCTTACCCTATCTGCTCGATGCAGAGATGGAGCTGCTTTTGGTCTTATGTTTGCATTTAAAGATATTTAAAGAGAAGAAGAATTGTGTTCCTTAACTTCCACCTTGGCCGATTATATCCACGCTTCCGAATCTAATTCTGTTGGTTTGTGAACAGAGGTAAATGTCTCATTTCATTGAGCATTTCATTGATGTCTCTTTTCTTGAACAATTTTCACACTTGTTTCTTGAACGCCTGTGATTTTTTCAACTGTCAATTGATTTGTTTGAAATTGCACATTGTCAAACTCTGCCTCATTTCTGTTCTCGATTGTTAAGTTTTTGAGAGCAGAATTGTTTTAAGAGAAAACGTAAATAGATGGATGGATAGGTTGGTGTATATATGGATGGAACTTGCCGTTGGATGGTGGTTTAATGGTTGGACTGTTGTTGAACTCGCTGTAGAGTTACTGGGAAGAAACTGATAATGTATTTTACGGACACATTGACAGAAAAGAGCCTATTTCGGGAAAAGGTTCTAGCAAGTTTGTTCGTATAATTTTTTCATTAATTTTAAGTTCGATTGCTAATTTTAAGTGAAATTGAGTAGTGAAACAGTGGCTGGATGGGTTGGGCTTTGGTTGTAACATTTGGTGTTGTCAATAAAGAGTCTAAATTTTAGAAGTCTGAGAGAAAATAGAAAATGCTCGAAATTCGACGAGACATGATTTTACCCCCCTTGAAAGTGACAGAATTTATCTTGTATTCTAAGTTTGCGAAAAGCTTGAGTTCGAAATTCGGAGTCCCGAATTATTGCGGGAGTATTGTCTGGTGTCCTTCAAAAAAGTTTGAGCAATATTTGAGTTGTTCAAAGTTTGTTTACGACCAACCCCTCGTTTAAGTAAACAAAAAATGTCGAGTTATTTCCTAACTATTTCCATCCAAAAATCATGCAAAACATTTCAAACAATCAGTGACCTCCTCACTTCTTAACGCCTAGTTTACTACTACAATGCTACTTGACTAGAACCTTTTTCGGAGAAATTTATTCAGTCTGATAGTCTGGTGCATTGTCATCAAAATTTAAAACAGTATTTCATCTGGACTAATTGGTCGTAAAGTTTGGGGGTTTCAAAAAAAACTAATTTGACCAAGTTGAGATGATTAGTTCGCGACAAATTTGAAACTATTGACTAATAGGTTTTTTCTGCGGTGAAATTTTTAGGTTCAGAATTTACTCCTTATTGAGTTGAGGCTGGATATTTCGTGTTTGGGAAAGCTTCAAAAAAAATTTTGCTATACTTTGTGAAGATGAGTTTTCAGGCTACTTATTCGGTGAAGTGAGATGGGAGTTATTGATAAGACCCCAAATTTGTAGTGCCATTTTTTTCAGGTAACGAAGTTGTAAATTAAATTTACGTTTTGCTGAGCTCAGTATGGCTGAGTTCAATCAAGTATCCCTGGTGCTTTTTTATATTTTAATTTTTGCTGTGGTTTATGTAAATATATTGATTGTTAATATTTTAATTTATGTTATATAAAATACACATGTTTCGGGAATTGGTTTCTCAAGTTGAAAGATGAACTAAGTTTTTATCTCACCCGTTTTTAATGAGCCACTTTGTTTGCTATCTTTTCAAAATGAGCATTTTGTATATCAGGCAAATATTGTATCTTTTAGCGAAAGCGTATCTGGATGGAACATTGAGGATCTTGGTAACTATTCCCTACTTAGCATAAAATGGCGTTCAAATTTAAAAATTTAAAATTGCCAAATTTAAAATGCTTAGACCATGAATTAGTCATTTGAGGGATGGATTTTTTTAAAAAGTAGAATAAGGAGGATAGTTAATAAGATCCAACAGTGATTAACGTAAAAGAATCAGAAGATCGTGAATTGACTTCTACACGCTTAGGTAAATTTTTAATCATGGGTTATTTTGGATAAAGTGTTATTTCGTAGTATCTAGAGTTTTAGTTAGTCCTTTTTGAGTTTTTAAGTAATTACACTGGCGAGAGCAAGCGGCTTGTAATCGGGAACTAAACTTTTCCGGGTAACAACTTTTCTTATAAATCTGATCTGTAAGAAGTTGACCTTGCTTTATTATAGAAGCTAAACAAACTCCAGGCTTCTTCCTCTTAGCTGAGAGTTAATGCGGTTGCCTTTGCACCCTAAGTTATGAAGTATGAGTCCCGCAGGACCTTAATTTTTCAGAATGTAGGAAATTGATGTTTTTTGGTAGCATTGGAATTGCCTACTTTCGTCTGTCTGCATGTATACCGGCTTAGTTGCCACATCTCTTTGTTGATTTAATCCTGCAATATATGAATTAACTAACCCTGACTCAGTATACTTTCGGCCAGATGGTTGCGCTAATGATTTATCGGATTAACAAACTTTTTTCGATTGAAAGTCAAAATGTGATTATCATTTCGAACATTTTCTAATTGTTTGTGGCCTAAAGAAAGTTTACTTAGTCGCCAAAAATTTTTTCGGACATCAATTATTGGCCTTTTCCCGGCTCGATGGGCGTCTACTCACATATTGTCGGCTTTGAGGCCGCTTGCTTGGTAAATAAAAAAATCTTAATAAATGATGGTGTTTTTGTTTTTCGACCGTTATTTCGAAATAGTTTTCCATTTTTTGCCAAATGAAATCTATTTTTTTCTTAGCTGTTCCCTCTCGTGTTCTTTTCGCTATGTTGCAATGCTACGCTTGCGCTGTGTCGTAAGTGATGCGAAACTCAGCTTCGCTTCTTTGTAAAACGGTAAAAATAACATTTCGTAGGAATTCGATGCCACACCGACCAGAAGATACCCCTTTGATACTGGGAGCTTTTCGACTCCCCTCCCCCCACATTTCAAAATTTCATTTTCTCAATTGTTTTTCGTGTTATTAAGGCTAAACGCGTGGTGTTACGAAGAAAGGTGTGAAGAAAAATAGTTAATTTGTTCACCGTGCAAAATTTCTTTACATTTTGACAACGTAAATTTGGTTTTTCAAAACTGAAAGTCAAATGGTAAAAAAGCCTGACACTTTAGCTGTTAATTTTTGCGAAGAGCAGTTTCGTTTATTGACACCAGTGAGTTTGCGAAGCTTCTTTTTTTCTAACCTAACTAGCAAATATAAGTGTTCATTGAAAGTGGAATGTGTTCACTTATTTGGTGGCACTTTTGTTGTAATCACGATCTGTAGCATTGGAAATTTCATAGCATCTGTTCTCTGCTTTATTTGTGACTAGTGTTTGTGATTTATTAAGCCTCGGTGGCTGAGTGATTAGTGGTGAGAATCATAATCTCTAGGTCGCAAATAGAATCCGAGACGTAGCCGCGTTTTTTGCTAATTCGAGGCTTATTTCTAATTTTTCTGATTGCTTGTTTTAGAGCTGCTTTTTTTCGTGTTCTGGCTAGTTTTGCAACTGAGCGAGGATATTGCAACGTACGCATAATTCAACTGTACCATTTCTGATAACCTTTTCAACCTGCATGTTATCAGATTTTTAGCAATGATTTTTTCAAAGGATTTATTCTAATCTATACGCGCTAAATTATTTCTTGAATAATGAAAAAAATATAACATTCGTTTGATTTCAGATTATTTTGACTGAATGACGTCCTGTCCTGTGAAGAACATCAATATTGGAGTGTTGGGTCATGTAGACAGTGGCAAGACATCTCTCTGCAAGCGACTCAGTACTGTTGCATCTACTGCCTGTTTCGACAAGAACCCACAGAGTCAAGAGAGAGGAATCACCCTTGACTTGGGGTTCTCCTCTTTCATGTTGCCCTTGAACACACAAGAGGTAAGGCAAGTTAGGATCAAGTTAAAATCCTGAAATACCTCTTCCCCCCAATTGACCAAATTAAGATCATCCATCGCAGCGTTCCATTTGAATTAAATTTGGAAAGCGTGTTAAATGTTTTTTTTGTGTGATTAGCTGAAAAGTCGAACTCAGAACAAAGTTAGCATCTTCCCCAGGGCGGATTTAAGGGGGGGGGGTATGTGAGTTTGCGAACCTTATTTTTTTCTAACCTAACTTGCAAATAAAAGTGTTCATTGAGAGTTATCACTTATTTGGAAATTTCTCAGCAGCATTGGGAATTGCATAGCATCTGTTCTGTACTTTATTTGTGGCTAATGTTTAATCTTTAATCTTCTGTGTACTAATAAGCTTCGGTGGCTGAGTATTTAGTGTGTGTGACTCTTAATCTCAAGGTCGCAGGTTCGAGTCTCAGATGTAGCGATTTTTTACTAAATCGAGGCTTATTTATGCTTTTTCTTATTGTACTTTATGAAGCGTTTGCTTTTTGTCGTGTTTGCTTCTGTGCTAAAAAAAGTTCAAAACCAATCATTTTTTATTCTTTAACGTTTTCAATTGTCTGTTGACTCTGTTTTGTTTGATTGTTCGCTGAAGTTAAACAAGAGCAGACGGGACAAAAGGATAGCCGGTTGATGTGCAACTAGCTCAAAATGTTCCGTCCGTAAATTTCAATTTTTTTATACGTTGTGATGATGAAAGGATCTGAAGTTAAGACTAGATTTTTGTTTTTTTTTCCAAATATTCATAGTTATAAAGCAGCGTTTTTTGGAAAACAGTATTTTTTTTTTCAAAAATGGCTAATTATAAAAAAAAATACAATAATGTTTTTTTGATTGTTTTCAATTATTTTGCAGTATTTTTTGTTCGATTTTTTTTTCTCAAAATGGAGTTGAAAAAACTTTGAAAACTATTTTAATTAGATTTTTCAGGGCTTGAATAAAAATGCATGGCTTATGTACCACTAATTTGCGACTATCTTTCTACAATAAGCCTGCTAGCTCAATTTACTCGCTCGAAGTTAGACGAAAGTTCAAAAATTCAAACCGATTTTTCCCGACACTGGGAAAAATGTTTGGAAGTTTCTAATTGTCGTTCGAATCACGATTGAAAGGGCTTCAATATGATACATCACTCGACCCATTTCGATGATTATTTGATTTTTCCGGCCCAATTTGCTAATTAAGTATTCTGTTTGACGCATTGTTAGGTTGCCTTTGACAATTATGGAGAAAGTTTTGAGTTGAGATTTGTCTAGTTATAGCAATTGCAGTGGTCGGAACATTGTGTGCTTCTTGAAAAGCAAGCGCTGCTGTTTCTGATTCTTTAGTTTTCGTTTTTAGGGTATAACTTTGCCTTCTGAGATCCAAGTGACTCTCGTGGACTGTCCAGGGCATGCATCTCTAATCAGGACCATCATAGGAGGAGCCAGCATCATAGACCTCATAATTCTCGGTAAACTATTAGCCTTCCACTCTCAATTATGAACTAGTCCACAGACTTTAATTTTCTGAGAAATCTTAAACCAGGATTCTCACTTTCTTTAATTTAGGTCTTAATAGCTTAAATTTTTGATGCGCTTCTTCGGCCGAATTTAATCGACCATAAGTTGAACTGATTTGATGTGTTTAGTCTAACTTTTCAAAAATTTGTACATTTTATTTGCGTATAACTGGCAGAAAATGAGCAGCTCAATATGGCTGATTTAACATTGTTGATTGTAGTGGTGGATGCGCAGAAGGGAGTCCAGACCCAGACTGCGGAGTGCATGGTGCTGGCCGAGATCTTGTCCTCCTCTAGTTTGGAGAAGATGCGACTAGTGGTGGTGCTAAACAAGACAGACTTGTTCCCAAAACAGAGTAGGTTAGGTTAGAACATGGAGCAAGTTATCCTCCTCCCCCTATAGCGATTTAGGATGCAGGATGCTAACTTGTTTCTAAGTTCGAAAAATCGGTCAAGCAGAATCGCTGGGAACCAACGGCTTAGCATTGAAATATTGGTTTGGACGATATTATTTTGGTCTATTTAGGGAGATATTCAGTTGCTCCTAGAATATTAATAAACTATTGCATATAGGTTTTAATCAAAAACATCAGCAGTGCTTTCTTGTTATTTGAATATTTATTATTTTATTATTTGGACGTTTTTTTTTATTAGCCCTCGGTCCTACTCAGTGCAGGACCATGATTGGGGGAGGGGGGATGACATTCATTACTTTGCGTTGAACGACGCGTTCCTTGCCCCACTCGGCCACGGCCGCTCAATTTTTGGCTGTTCTGCACAGCCCCCCTCCCCCACCTTAGATTTTCTTCCAACTTTCAAAAAACTACTTTAACATTGTCAGAATGCAAATGAAACTCGGCATAGTTAACAAGCTAACCATTTGTTCTTCGAGCGGGCGGAGGGGGGGAGTGGAGTGTGTGAAGTTTCGGAGAAATGACCTCTCACTTTATAGAGAAGTCATTTCCCACTTTTTGGTTCAAAATAAGAATATGATTGGATATCGCACGATGTCACGCGATATCGCGCGATGTCATATCACGAGATCAGATCGCAAAAGGCGGTTAACTTTCCATATATATAGAAGTTGATTTACTACTCTTTTATCGCTCTCTAATTTAACTGTTAATTATTACCAGTTTTGCTGCCAACCTGTGAAAGGTTATGGGCCCAGCTGCTTAAATAAATGTCAGAAGTCAAGATTGGTTGACTTAACGAAAAAATACTGAGAGAGCAAGCTGTAAAGTGTTGACACAGTTAAAGTCACAAAAAAAAGACAAACGAGGAAAAAGAAGATAGTGAACTGGCAGACAGACAACAGAGCAATACAAAGAGTCAGTGAGACAGGGCATTGAGACAATTCAGTGATCAGTGAAGTCTGGAGTCACACGGAAAGCTGAAAGAAGCACACGAAAGAGAGATACACACAAAGAAAAAGAGAGAGAGAGAGAGAGAGAGAAAGAGAAAGAGTAAGAGAGAAAGAAAAAAAAACAGTGATAGATAGAAACTGACAAACTGTTCATTTTGATAAACTCATTTGATGTGGTGTTTTATAAATTTGTAGATACTTGTTGTTGCTTGGGGGGATCGTAATCCGTCGCTGCGAGATCTGAACTCCAATCAGATTTTAAAAATAGAAGTTCAACAAAAAAAACACTCCAAATTTCTATTGTGCTAAAATATATTGCTATGTATGAAGTCTGTGAAGTAACCTTAGCTTTGCTACATCGCTGATGTGTTATTCAGTACGCTTACCGTTAGGTTTTGGATCAGGCTTAGGTAATGAGATACATGATTACTTATATTATGCGCTGCGTTATGTTTGCTGATATAATATAGTCTGAATTTTTGCTCATTGAAAAGTACGTGGAACATAAGATATATTTGTTCAGAGCAAAACGGCTTAGGTGAAAAATGTCTAAGTCAGAGAGAATAGTGTTTTCAGGAAAAGAAGAAGACTTCTTGTATTTTGCAGAGCAATTTGAGGCTAGAATTTTTCATCTTAAATTGAATAAAGTTATCAATAGAGAAGTAGATGAAAGATTTTGCACCCAGTGTTAGGAACAATGCTACTGTAGAACAGAGAGAAGCATCTTCAAGAAAAGGGAGGGAAATTTTAGGTGAAAAAGAATGGCATGTTTGGTATGAGTTGGTGCAATGTTTAGACAAAAAATCTGTTTTGTTTTTAAGACCTTATAAAGGCAAGGGAAGTAAGGCTTGGGAAATTTTGTGCAAAAGGTTCAAAAGCGCCGAGATACCTAGACTGCAGCAATTGATTTCAGATTTAACTTCGATAAGAATGAAAGCTAATGAGAGTGTAGTCGATTATATCACTAGAGCTGAAGAGTTGCAGTATAATTTAGATGAAGTAGACGAGGGTTTAAGTGAAAAGATGTTTGTGTCAATCATTCTTAAAGGCCTACCAAAAGAGTTCAATACGTTTTGTACCTTGGTTAATTTTAGCAAAGATGATAAGAGTTTGAACGAAATTAAGAAAGATTTGCTAAACTTTGAAAGTGATCATAGAAATGAGAAGGAGGAGACTGAACATTCGTTTATTTCGAGAATAAAAACATGTTTTAGGTGCAATAAGACAGGACACATAGCAGCTCATTGTAGATCTAAGTTAGTGAATAAGGTTAACCAGTCATCTGGTGATAGACCTCCTGTGAAATGTTTCAGTTGCTTAGAAATAGGACACATAGCTAGGGATTGTAAGAAGGAATTTGAGAGAAAAAGCGTGAGAGAAGACCAGCTGTTAGCTGAAACTAATGAAACTCATTTTAGCTTTTACAACTCGGCTGAGAGAGTCGACGGTAACCTAGTTATAGATTCAGGCGCAACATGCAGTATGATAAAGGATAAAAAATTATTTGTTGAGCTTGACCAGAGTTTTAGCGAAACTGTTGAAAACGCTAACAAAACGGAGTCTAAGATTTTAGGTAAAGGAAGAGTTGAATTTTTTGTGAAAGATTGTCAAGGAAATTCGAAAAAAATTTCAATGAGTGATTGTTTCTATGTGCCAGAAAACTCAGAGAAAATTTAGTGTCAGTCTCAAAACTTACTAGAGGAGGAGCTAAAGTAGTTTTTGGAGAAAAGTCATGTATTGAGCAAGGAAATGGGACTGTTTATCCACTTAGTGATCGAGGTAATCTTTTCATTTGGAAAATAATAGGATTTGGAAATCACAAAAAATTAAGTGTTGAAAAAATGCAAAACAATTCTTCTGAGTTCAGAGTCAGTAAGACTTATTTTTGCAGAGAAACAGAAAAGAAGAATTTTAATGAGCAAAAGGAGAACTTGATAAAAGACGATGATATAAGGAAAGAAGTTGAGCTGAAAAATGAACCTAGTGCCCATCCAAAATCTAAAACGTCCTTAAATGAACGAGGCAAAGAGGAGTCGAGAAACTTATGCGAGGTTGAGAAATTTCAGAGTATTGACATGAAGTTAGGTTCAAAGCTAAGGGAGCGTAAGAAGTTTGAAAGCAGAGCAGGCAAATTGATACGGATATTTGACATAGGACAGAAAAAAAGTAATATTGCTCTTAACAAACATCGTATGGGACATGGTAAAACTGAACCTCCAGACTAGTGTAGGCTATGATTTAGTACTTATTTTGAAAGGAGGAGTGTTAAGTTTCGGAGAAATGACCTCTCACTTTATAGAGAAGTCATTTCCCACTTTTTGGTTCAAAATAAGAATATGATTGGATATCGCACGATGTCACGCGATATCGCGCGATGTCATATCACGAGATCAGATCTCAACAGGCGGTTAACTTTCCATATATATAGAAGTTGATTTACTACTCTTTTATCGCTCTCTAATTTAACTGTTGATTAGTACCAGTTTTGCTGCCAACCTGTGAAAGAGTGTAGTGGGAAAGACCCCAATTTTTTGTTGGGATTAATGGTGTTGAATCTTAAGACAGTGTGCTCTGGAAAAAAAGTGATATTGAAAATAATATATAAAAACTCAGGAATGATGAGCCAAAAAATCTAAGTTATTTCGGAATTCATGTGACTGATCGTTTGACAGTGAGGTTAGTTGTCCTATTATTGGGAAGATTCATTTCAAATATTTCGCTTGTCTCTTCATTTTATCTCATGTTCTACGGCCTTCGAAAGTTTCAGTAGAGAGATTTTTGGCATATTTGTTTTGATTTTTTTCATGCTCTCAAATTTTAAATTCAAAATCTGAAAAAAAGGTTTCAATCAAAAGAAAAAGTTGTGGGGATATCCCCCTCTCAAGTGGCTGTTACCTAAAATCGATCGAAAAAAATATGGCCTCAAAAAGCCCATTCTTTGACATTTCGGTTAATTTTTTAAACTTTTTCTAAAAAACTACCCTGCCAAATTGAAGATAAAGGGTTTGACCGAAAGAAAAAATTAACTCTGCGAATCTTACCTGCAAGAGCGGCTATGGCCTGTGTTTTGAAACAAAATATGGCCTTAAAAAAAGTCCAATTTTTGAAATTTTACCGGTTTTTCAAAAACTGACCTGCTGATTCTGAGGTTGATAGTTCATTAAAACTTACATGGTGCTTAGATTTTTTCCTGCGTAATCTGATATGGAGAAACGCTGATATGGACTTCGGATAATTTTTTAAGAAATTGTGTCACTATTCTCAATAGTTTTTAGCTAAATCTGATATTAAGGGTTCAATCTAACAAATCAGGTAAGAAATTTTCAATCTAAAAATCATGGTGTAAAGCTTAAAAGAAAAAGTTTTTGGATTTAGGAAAAGTCAAATTTTTTGAAGTTTGATCGATTTTTGGGATCTTCTTCACTTTTTTCGAAAACTACCCAGCCAAATCTGAGAGAAAGGCTTTAATTGGAAGAGCGAGTAGTAGTTTTCTCTTTTTTACTATTTGGTTAATCAACTAATAGAGCAGAGAAGCTCTAGGGTTCAGCGTAAAGTTCATTTTTTGGAAATTTGAAAATTACGCATGTTTCAGTAATATATCATTAAAAATATCAGAAAATGTATATCCAGCATTAGCTGCGCCACTAGCTTTTTTTCCGAGCGACTGTGGCGTAGATGCGGTGACATGAGACTCTTAATCAACAGGTCGGATATTTATATCTGGAACATTTAAATAGTTTTTTTGGTCGATTTTTTGCTGCATTACATTGGCAATTTGATAAAAACTATAGCTGCTTTGGTGGCTAGTGTTATTTCACTTTGTTTGGCGTGTTTAGAGCTCTTTTTTGCATTTTTCTCGCTTGTGTTTGCGAAGGGCAGCTTCGCCTCATTGTAATTACTAGGACACTTTTCATCACTAGAACACAATTGTACAACGTGGACATATGATTCGTAACGCTTTTATTACAACTTTTGATGAAAACTTTTGTTGTGCCCGTAAAATTGAATATAAGCGTTTGAAACTTGAATTATCATATTGCAAAGAAAAAACGTTTTTGAACTCAAAGTTGTATTTCAGGGTGGAAAAAGTGGAAAAGATGAAGAAAAAGCTGCGTGCTACATTCAGACAAACAGTATTTGGAGAAAACGTGGAATTAGTTCCCTTTTCGTGCAACGAGGAAGATCAAAACGAAGTAGATGAAGCGTCAAAAGTGAATGGGAATCTGTCAGATATTCTGAAGGTGTATGTCATAGAAGCGATTCGAACTAGACTAGAAATGAGCAAAGCGGGAAATGCTTCTGAGCAGTTTATGTTCGCAGTTGATCATTGCTTCTCAATTAAAGGTGCCTAAATAAGTGGTGATTGAGTGGAAGATGAGGATACATATTAGGTAGACTAAGTCCTCGGGGACAAGAAGTTGCTTTCGGTAACATTGAGTAGTTCCATCTGGCTGGTCTGCTGAACTGGTCTAGTGTTCGATCCCCTTCTTGGGCGACAGATGTTTGCGTGCTTTGCGCTAGCAATTAGCCATTTCAGTTTGCAATTAGATTTAAGTTTGATAGTTCTAAAATAAAACGTTTGATAATTGAAGAAAAAAAACGAGTTATTCCAGAAGATTTTAAGGTCGATCTAAATCTGTTTTTTTTCTTCTCAAAAATAACTTTATTTCTTCAATTTTCAAACGTTCTCTTCATTTTTGAAAAATTAGAATAGGAAATCATTATAACGGCAATCAACACTGAGCAAGTTTGATTGCAAAATGAAATGACTAATTGCTAGCGCGATTAACGAAAAATTTTGTTGCCCAATGAGGGAAAGAGCGCTAGATTGTTACAGCGAAAAACTTGATTTTAAAGTGAAAGTTGTCTGATTACCATCTCCATTAAACTGCTTTGGAATGAATCGTAAACCTCTTACCAGTTAAAAAAGGCATGTTTTGGCCACGAAATATCTAGATTATAGAGGAACACATTTTGCGGGAAAACAATCTGTGAGAGATAAAAAAATATTTTGGCTTGTTTTCCAGGTCAAGGCACGGTTATGACTGGCACTTGTCTTCTGGGAAAAACATCAGTGAATGACAAAATAGAGATCGCTTCCCTGTCTATGGAGAAAAAAGTCAAATCTATCCAAGTATTCCGAAAACCAGTCACTTCAATCCAGAAAGGTGATAGAGCTGGAATATGTGTCACACAATTCGAATCATCGGCTCTAGAACGAGGCCTAGTTTGCTACCCTGGGTTGTTACGTAATATCTACGGTTGCATAATGAGGCTACATAAGGTCAGGTTTTTCAAAGGAAGTATTGCGTCGAATTCTAAATTTCACGTGGTAGTTGGTCATGAAACTGTGATGGCTAAAGTAACGTTGTTTTCGTCAACATCACAAGATCAGAAAACATTCGACGAATCGAAAGAATATCAGTTTTGCTCAGAGTTTTCCGAAATTGAACCCGAGAACACATCTAAAACAAACGGCCCAGTGTTTATGTTGCTTCAATTCGAGAAACCAATTTTATCCTCGCCGAACTCAATACTGATAGGCTCAAAACTAGACTCGGATATTCTATCTAACACATGCAGAATTGCTTTTTATGGAAAACCAGATGTCGTTTTTCATGAGGCAAATTACAGCGAAACATTCTTGAGCAACTTGAAAGTTTTCAAGCCGAAACAGAAACAAGGTGCGATTGACCGAATTTTCTCTGAAGATTCTGTCATTTGTAAAAATATGCTCAAAAAGGAAACAAATATTGAAAAGTTTCTCAGACTCAAAGTCGATTTTTCAACGGGTGATAAAGGAATTATTATCGGGGGTTTTGGACAAGGCGGAAAGCTCAAAATCCAAATCACAGGAGCTCAAATGTCGGAAGCGTTGAAATCATCGGGACCTGTAAAACGAAACAAAAATGACAAAAATTCACTAGCTCCGGAATTGGGAGATCCGGAATTGAGTTCTTTTTCTTCTGCAGACAAAACGCCGGTTGTTGTTACATTGAGGTTTAAAAAGATGATTTTTGCGGGTTCAAACTCAAATAAAATAGTTCAGTAGTATACCTTCCAATGATATTCAAGTTTGTGTATAATGATTTCAGCTATATCAAATAGGTTTAATTTAAAGTTAGATATACACAAGATTAGCCCATTGCTGTTGGCCCAGAATGTTTTGATTAAAGTAAAAAATCGAGAAATGATGAAAAACAAAGCATTCAGACCAGTTTTCTTGATAATATTTCGAGTTTTAATGTTTTTTAGGTTGCCAAAATCGGCTGAACAAAAGTAAAGCATTTGAGCCTCTTAGCGAGACTAGTTGGAGCAAAAAGGATAAAAAGAAGAATTTCTTTTATATGAGACTTATTCAGATACTAAGAAAATATTGATGATGGTGCTCGAATCTGATTAGTTGAAACTATAATCGAAAGCAAAAAAGAAATATCAGCGTTTTCAATGCAAGCAAGCCTAATTGACTATTGGGCCGTATAACAGAAAAGACCATCATATCAGAATATGACAGAATATCAACGGAATCCGGAAATTTGTTTGATTTTTTTGTGAATGTGATTTAGAAGTCGAATGGTTCAGTATTGTACAGAGTTGGTAAAAAATGGTTAAAAGGCACACCGTTATCAGTAAATTTTGGCTTTTTTCAATTAATCAAAAGTACGCTGAAACTACTTTGATAATTGATGAGAAATATACATCAAAGAAGCCTCTTACACAGCCCAACAAAGTTCTAAAGGCGTTAAGTCTCCAAAAACCTGTATAAGAAAAAATAATTTTGCTTGATAGTCAAGAAATGTAATTTTTACGATATAAAACCTAATTTTAAACAACTTACGCAAATTTTTGTAGATTTAACCCTTCTAGAATTTTGTTGGACTGTAGACTGGCTTCTTATGATGTATGTTTTTCATCAATTAACAAAGTAGTTTCAGCGTAATTTTTGATTAATTGAAAAAAGTCAAAATGACCCATTTTTGATGAAAATTTTTGTTTGAGAATTTTGGATTTACACCATATTATTTCCAATGAAATTCTAAGCAACTTTTGTTCTGTTCACTTTTTGTCTAATCTTAACCCAAATTGAGAAAAACGTGTTTGAAAATTCAAGTTTTGTTCATTTTGTCCGGAAAATTTAAATCAGCACTATCAGGTCACAAAATGAAAAGAAAAAAATCATGCGATGTTTTTAGAATCATAAAATTTTCGGCTTGTTTTTTTTTTGTTTTTGGCTTAGTGAGCGTCTTGAAGCGGCTTTTTTGGCTCAAAGAACGCATTGTCCTCCTAGTGGTCACTCGTTAAAAGTTGTAGTTTATTAATGCTGTTTGTTGTGTTGTTTGACTGTGTTTTTGAATTTTTGTTTCGGCTTTGTTATTTCCCGTGCTTGTGTTGTATTGCAAATGATGCGAAACTCTGCTTCGTCTCTGCGCGTAGCCTTTGAATTTGAGTCTCTTCATTTTCAGATTGAAATGTCGCTGTTAATTCTGAGTAGAAATGCTCTTCGTCCCTGTTATGCGTCCATTCTCTCCACACAAAACATCGGACCTGTCCGAATGAGTAACATAACCCTCTTGAATCCAACAGCCGTCAGATGCATAACCTCAGAATCCTCCGGAATGGATCCAGCAGTACAGAAAATTGCCAAGACCGAAAAAGTCGAATTCTGGGAAAAGAATCGAAACCTCAACCGACCGGTTTCCCCTCATATGACTATTTATAGCTGGCAGTATACCAACTCGCTCTCAATTTTGCACAGAGCAACGGGCATTATGATTTATGGAGGCTTAGCAGTTTTGGCTGTGCCTTATCTGTCGATGCCCTACATGTTTCCGGCCTACATTCAGTACCTGACGTCGTTCACAGGGGGGAAATTGCTCCTAGGAGCGGGGAAGTTCTTGATATCGATGCCAGTTATTTACCACATGCTAAATGGGGCCAGACATTTGTTCTGGGATTACGGAATGGGGCTGAGTTTGGAAACGTTGAGGGCATCTGGATATGCTATTGTGGGAACTTCGGTGCTCTTGTCCCTTTTGCTGGCGTTTTGGAGATTCTAATCGATCTTGTGAGATGAATAAAACTTGACTGACAAAATGAATAGAATGTTAAATACTTAACCAAATCGATACGATAACTAATTGAAGCTTAGATTGAATCATATGTTTTAATCGAGTTGAAATGAGACGATAAAAATCAGTTCTGAAGCAGAAGGTGTGAAAAAGTGTTTTTCAAATTGACTCAACTTTTCTTGATCGTGTAATAAGGCTCGATAGCCCGAGCATTGAAACAGCTTCGAACGCTGTGATAATGCGAAAGAAATCACTGGGCAGTATTTTTTTTACGAACGAACCATTTGTAAGCTTCCGAATTAATAATGATGCTCACGATTACGAGTATAGACTTTTTCTGGTTAACAAATATTTAATCAAAATCGCTCCAATTATTTCGCACCTCATTATATATAAAATCAAAATTCAGGTGGTTTGAATCCGGCCAGGGCCTGTTTTTTTTGTCTGCTTATTTTTTGTCGGCTTAGTAGCCACAACACGGAATTTCTCTATGATTTGAGCATTTTTAGTATAATTTGCTTGATTCCTTTATTTACACTTGCGAAGCGAGTGTATTAATATGAACCTTCTTGTTTTCCAACTTAAATAGAAAATATTGGTGCCACTTTTGAGTCACCTTTACAGCTTTTTGATAGCATGTGCTTTGACATTCGAATAGTATTAAATTAACACCGTTGATGCATTTTTAATTCATCAAATGAACCGAAACAAGGGATTTGTTTCAAACAACATAACAATAATGAAAACTCGATTTGAAATTTTCTTACTCAATACATCTCGCAATTTTTTGAAATGCATAGTTTATTCATAATGTGGCTTCATGCGTTGCGATTTGTTACATACAAATTTCAGTTTGTTATATTCTAAATTAATACATGCAAAATTAAGTCTTTTTGTATTTGGTGCCACTTTTGCTGAATGGTATTGGCAAGTTATTAGCCTATCTAGCTGCTTTATTTGTGACAAGTGTTTGTCGGTTGTTAAGCTTGGTTCAGTATATAGTGCATGAGACTCAAAATCTTTTGATTGCATTAGGTCACAGATTTGAATCTTACACGTAGCCAATTTTTTGCCAATTCGAGGCTTATTTCTACTTTTTCTTATTTACTTGATGAGCTGATTTCTGATCGTGTTCTCGCAAATTTTGGAGAAGCGCAGCTTCGCCTCTGTGTTGAAATTATTTGTTTTGTCTGTGCATTCTTTTATTCACAAGAAAACAAAGTTCGCGCCTTTTCTGAAAAGTTTTGATTTTTGAAAGAAAGTTTAAAAAAACTAATAAAACTATTTATATGCACGGGCGGATCCAGGATTTTCTCATGGAGGGGGTGCGGATTTTCAAAAAAAAACTTTTCTTAGGCCGACCAAATTGATTTTCTTCTAAGCTCTCGCAAAAAAAAAAGACTTTTGTTAGGTCGACCAAATTGATTTTCTTCTAAGCTCTCGCAAAGCTCTATAAAGACCCCATTTTGACCAAATTTTAATATTGCCGAAAACAGGTCAAACAAATCGTTTTGAGGCATCTTTTGGAAAATGTTGACCAAAAAAAATTGGGTTTTTTCGACGCGCGCTCTCCTTGAAGTATACATTAGCGCCGAAGGCAATTTTAGATTATTTTAGTGTCTGTCAGACAAAATTGGGTGCCCTAAAATGTTACTAAATGGGGCCCCTTTTGGTCGTCAGCGTGTCGAATTCCTGAAAAAGAAGAGCATACGCACCCCCCCCCCCCCTAAATTCGTCTTTGTATATATGCCAGTACTACGGCGCAACATAATTGTTCTAGGTTTCATCCTCTCTCAATTGTTTCACTCACTTGGTTTGAGTTTGTTAAGTGAGCTTTTATGAGTCTTAAAGGCTGGAGAATGACTAGATCGTACCTGCTCTCACAGTTTTCTGAGTTTAAAGATATGAATTTTTTCCAGTGGCTGTTTTTCCAATAATTTTTTTATGCTGTAATTCTGGTTTGCATCGCAAGTGGTGCGAAACTCCGCTTCGCCTCTATGTTCAAGGCAAGAGTACAATTGTGTTGGAATTATTTATTTGATTTCAAGTAATCAGGTGCGAGCATTTTTATTCTTGTGTGAATTGTTTGATAATTAGAAATTTAGACCAGTCAAGTAAAAATAACCCAAGGCAGAAAACGTTTTATTTCAAATATACGACAAAAAGTGAAAAACGACAAAAATTGGACAAGGATAGCCGGTTGCTGTGCAAGTAGGACAGAATATTCCGACCACATTTTCAGAATTTTTTTGCTTCAAGTTGGTGTCTTTTTTTGTACATCGTGCGATGATACAACTACAAGAACGCGTGAAATATAGTGAATTCGGCATAAACAAAACCAATGGTCTTCAAAAAATAAATTTAAAAAATGAAAAATTTTCGAAAAGTTTTTTTGAAAGATTTTTTTTTGCAAGGGAATAGCTAAATGAAGCTTCCAAGACTAGTTTTTCTGTTAGAAAAAGATCAAATTTTTTTAGCCTAAATTTCTAATTTCATATATAACAAACGTTACTCGATTGCTTTACTCGCTCGAAAATAGACGAAAAGTCAAGAATTTCAAACCGGTTTTTTTGGACACTAGAAAAAATTATTGGGAAATTTTTAATGTGGTTCGAATCACGACTAAAAGTGATTTAATATCATATATCTCTCAACGCAGTTCGATGATTATTTGTGGTACCTGATTTTGCGTGATTTCAATGGTCGGAACAAAGAAAGAGCCTGTTTGAGGCTAAATTATATGAAATTGCTTAACTCAGGCCTTTTCCTTGGAATATTTTCTGCTTGCTGCTTGAATCGATTCAATTTTGCATTTAAAGTTTCGTTGGTTTTTGATGATTTAGGGGCATAGCTGAAATGACATATCAGTTATTCTGGCATGAGGACAATTTTTTGCAAGTTAACCAATAATTTAAAGGCTTAAGTACAAATTCTTTCTTGTCTTAGTTTTAAACGCATACTATGACGATAAATAGACTTTTAAATGCTGACTGCAAAATAGTTAAAATAGCATGATATCAGTGACATCATCATTACACAATATGACCTAAATACCTGCATCTATTTTTAAGATGATGGTTTGTATTGATGCTACTGTTTCACCTTTTCAAACCATTCAATGTAATCCCCAAATCACATATCAGAAGGTTAGTATCGGGTAACTCTTCCATCAAACGAGTAATGGAATTGACCGTGAGAGGAACGAAAGAAAACTACTTCGTAGATGCGAAAATTTTGGGAGTTGGAGACGGGAATGCTGACTCTTTTCACATATTTCCAAGAGTAGTGGTTAACTTTAACGATCAAACGAAAAAGCCAGTTGGTGCGGCAATTTTGGACGCTGACCAAGGTAAATTAACAGAAGCTTCACATTTTTAAATGCCGTCAACTTGACATATTTAAATGGGTCAAGTTGACGGCATTAAGTTACAAAATAAGGTATTTTTTGAATAATTGATGTTTGATTCTATCGTTTTTTGCACATTTTTAAGAGTGATGAATATAGTGAAGACTCTTTTATAGGTCTTGCTGATTTTTTTTTTATTGATGCACATAGGTGTAATGCACTTTTTGAGTTCAATTGAAACTCATCTGCTGAAAGTGGCATAAATAACACTCTCCAAATACGAACGTGGAAATGGCGCAAAAACGTGAACGATTTCTAGTTTCGAAAGTGGAATTTATTTTTAAGATTTCCCAGAGGAATAAAAACAAACTTTAACTGTTGATCCAGTTTTCTCAAGTTGGGTTCATGTTATCAAAAAAGTTCTAATCATAAATTGTTCTAGAAATTCAAAGAGTTAAAACGGCATCTATTTTTTTCTTTGAAATTCGAAAGGTAGATTTTTTCAAGAAAGTGTTTTTTTTTTAAATTTTTATTTGCGTTCATTACTATTTTCCAATCTTCGATTGGCTATGTTTCTCGTTGAAATTGTATTTTATGCATTTGTCAAGAGAACCAGACTTTTCAACAGAACCAGGCAACAAAGCCAGAAATTTGCATTCTGTTGTTTCACGGAAATTAGGTACCACGGAACGATCAAGTGATATAATATTGATGGCCTTGCATTGGTGATTTAGTCGATGTCAAGAAATATCAGCCACGGTACACTAATGAAGGCGATGAAAGTTTTGGAATTATATGTATAAAAGCATCAGTAGATATTTGAACTTTATTCTGATCTCTACCCGTCTCACAGCTCTGACCTAAACTTACAGTTCTGACCTAAACTTATGACGCTTGCGATTACCAAGCGTTATCAAATCGGAATATAGACTTTGTTTGGGTTAATGACTAGTTTAACAGAATCACTGAATCATTTGTATCTTGGTTCATGAATTCGAACTTCTATGCGTGTGGGGCACTTAGCCTGGAGGTAACGAATACGCCTGTGACGGCAAAGGTCGTGGGTTCGAATCTGACCGGGATTTTTTTTCCACATTACCACATCGTAGAAATGATATTTTGTTAACGAAATTTTCCTTGTAGCTGCTTTTATTGTTTTGCAATTTGTTACTCCTGTAATTTTTAATTTTACTAGCCTTTAGTTCGTATATTTTGCTGTTTTTTGATTTTTTTCGCTTAAAAACTATATTCAGCTTAAATGATTTCGGATTATATTTTATTGGCTTAGTGAACTAGTTTGGGGCCATTTCAAGGGAAGCATAAGTTTTATGCGTCATTCCGGATTGCACAAAATGCTTAAATTCTTATGTTATATTGCAAGTGGTGCGAAACTGCGCTTCGCTTCTGTGTTAAAACGATGTGATGTTATACTGAAAACAGTTTATTTGTATTCAAGTCTAAGTAAAAGATAAGGTATTTGAGATTTTGTGAAAAGTGGTATAATTCGTTGAACTTTTTTAGTCTCTTTGGCTAAAGGCGGTCAAACTGATCATGTTTGTAGTTATTGTTTTTGTCACGACTTGATGAATTTTTTGTATTGAGTCTTACTTGGTCTTGTAAACTGCTTCTGAATAAATTGTAAATAGGTCTTAGATCTGAAGCATTATTTTTGTACGACGAGAAGGTGGAGGGATCAAAAGTAACTTAAATAAAACTGCTTTCATGTACGTCCACCGCTTTTAGTGGATAAAAATAACGAGTAACTTTTCAATCTTAGTTTTCTCAAACTGGTTTTTCTGGACACCGTGAATGCTGTTCAATTTTTTTGACATCATTCAATCACTACTGTAAGCGTTTAAATGTTCTATCACTTTGACCGGACTGATGATTATTTATACTGCCTGGTTTGCGAGAAAAACTGTATAAACGACCTAATCACACCCAATACACGTTTCTTCCCTTTAGTAAGCGGAGTCAAGCGCTTAAGTTTCCGTTCAACGACAACAAGCGTTTAGAAACTGCAAAAAGTCTAGCGAATTACAATCAATATAGAACAGGATAACTGTTTGCATAGTAACAAAGAAGTTTCAGCCCCCATTCTTGCTAAAACTATTTGAAAAAAAATCCTTTTTTCTACAGTGTGTCGTTTTTATGCGTGGTGAGATGAGAAGAACGGGGCGAAATTTTATAGTAGTAACAATTTGGGAATGATAAACCGCAGTTGTCTGCGAAAACTGAATAACAAAACAAAATTTATTTTTAAAATCTATTTTTGCAGACTTTTAATATACAAATTTAAGGAACCTCTAATTAAAGCTTCGAAACTAATTTTCCGGTATTGAAACCAAGTTTTTCCTATTATAACACTAACTCGCTAGCTTTACTCTTTCGAAATTAGACCAAAAGCAAAATTTTAAACCAGTTATATCGACACCATGAAGATAAAATTTTTTAGTTTTGGTTATTTCACAAGCAAAGCTTCTGTTTTGGTATGAATTTTCTTTTTTCCAACCTAAGTCACAAATTTTGTTGCGACACAAATATTGTTGCGACAAAATGTGTTCAATTTGAAAGTTTTAGTTTTGATCAAAAACCAGCTATTAATTACAGCCAATGCTAAGGATATTAAGACAGACTATATTACAAATAGCGCTTTAGCTTCAAGGTATCTTAGATCTGTAGTGGAGAGGTAGGGAAGGAGACCCGCGACAAAAAAGCGGGTTTGAACCGGGGCAGAGTCGGATGTTTTATATGAATTTTTTGGTATACTGGTTAAAATGCGTCCGCTCTATAAATTGATTTATGTTAGTTAATTTCTTTTCAAGATGACTGGTGCTGCTAGCGCGCCGTGATTGGCTTGCGTCACTTAGCAATTATGTAGATGAATAATTGGCGTGCGTCACTTAAGAACTTCTATAGACTCAAAATTTTACTCATTCAGTTTTTCCTAGGTGCGTTATCGGTCATATTTTTGCTTGTGTATGCGAAGTGAAACTTCGTCTCTGTGTACAAATTGTTCTGGTCGGAACATTCTCTGCTTCCAGTGCAGCAACCGGATATCTTTGCATGTTTTTTTTTTTTAGCTCTGTATGTCATTGACCCCCTAGGAAGAGGTCTTTGGTTCAGCTCATGGTAAGGTTTTTGGTGTCGTATGTTGCTGAATTTTGTGAGGCGACAATTTGTAACAGACAATAATTCGTAGCAGGCGTTATTTCTTAAAAAGCGACGATTCCTAATTTTTAAGGGCGAGAATTGGTAACGAGCGACAATTTGTAACACTTAATTTCTGATACGGAGGATGATAGTTTGCGTTTTACTTGTTCCTTGCAATGGTGTGGGGGATAGAAAGTTTGTTTTTTATTTGTTAGTTGTTTCAAAAGCTTCAGGTGGGCGACTTAAACTCTGGGAGACGAAAACTTAGCACTTAGTTAAATCTTGGTTCAACATTTCGAATCGATTTTAGTTTGGTCATCACTAAAATATTAATTTGAAACTATCAACATTAAGCATTGGCCTTCTTACATTGATTGTGACATTATTCCTCATTTCGTTTTGAAGTTCAAGCTTTAATAACACCAAATTTATTTTCACCAATTTTCAGCAATGCATCCAGAATAAACCATCAGCGAAAGCGGTAAACCGCAAATATTCTCAAATAAGAAATGAAAGAACATGGCCACGAAAACATTTAACATGAGCCAGAAGTTAACATGTAAGTTTTACATTTTTGCACATACATGTACTGGATTGAAAGAAGAATAATAATTAATTCTTAGGTTAATTTTTAGAAAAAGCAAAGCATGAACAGAGGGCAAGTTTCATGTGTTCGAATCCCACTTCGGTCACGATTGGAGGGGTTATCAGCTTCCTCATGGGGGGACCGGGTATGGCGAATTGGATGACATTTCCTTTCCCCAATGAGTGGTTCTGCATTGAGCAGGACCGGGCTATAAAAAATTTAATTCTGTAGAAGGGTGACACCGTGCCTTTAAAATGGCAATGGGGTGTGCGCACGCGGCGATTCACAAATTTATCATTTATCGAGTTTTTTCAATGCCAGCAAACTTTAGCCGAAAACAAGCTTTTTTGTTAGCCCCCGGTCTCCACTGTTGGTCCGAAAACAAGCTGGTACGGATTAGATCGGTAGAAAAGCCACCAGAAATAGTAAAGTACGAGAAAGCCCGATCTCGATTGTGTGAGGTTCTTAAAAGCTATGAAATCCATGGAATTGTTAATTTTTTGTAAGGACTTGCCTTTAATTTTGATTTCTAAGGTGTTTTAATGTTTGTCATTGATATCAATTTAACTATCAATTTCTGTTAATTGTTCAATATCAAAAAGAGCCGCGTTACGAACTGTCGGTTAATACGAATATTCGCCTGTTATGCATAGTCGCCGTATCAGAAGCTAAGAATAGTCGCCTTTACGAATCGTCGATTGTTACGAGTTTTCGTTCAGACGCAGAGTTTCTCAATTAATCAAAGCGTGTGCTAGGTCTATGTCGTCAGTACTCAGATATTTCTGATATAAATAAATTTCTTAAACAGCCAAACGATGCGCTACATACTACAATTTGTTCTTTCGATAGACTCTTTTGTTTGAATTTAGTACAGACCATGCATTAAAAATTTCACTCACTTTTTAGCAACAAGAATGTTAATTTTTCGTTTGAGCTTCAAAAAAACGCTGTTTCAGATGTTTCGACCCTCAATGATGTTACAATCTTACGCAATTCAGGCTTAGAGAATACAAATGAGATGACATTCAACGGCGTGAAGTTTTCCATATTCGGTCCTGCTGGTTCTGTATCGAAGAGTCCTAGCGATTGTTTGGTGACCATGCTACCTTCAACAAATGTAAACTTGAAGCTTTCTGTAGGAGTTATGAGCATTAAGTAAGTATGCAATAAAGGTTTGCTAGTCATATAATTTTGATCGATATTGAAAAAATTAAAAGAATAAAAATACAATTTCTGATATATGCTGTTGATATGGATTTAAAATGACTCGAATGAAAAAAACTGAAGGTCAATTGTGGCATTATCGGTTACCCTTGAGCATCTTAATTGGCCAAAAACTTGTGTTTGTAGGTAACTGAAAAAATAGACAGGTTTTTCTGCGTTGAAATGAGTGAAAAATTAGTTTCCGATACCAAAATAAACAGCTTTAAGCTTTATAAAATTATTCGTTGTTCGAAAAGGCTGGATGGGGGAATACCTATTAGTATCTGCTATCTGCTTTAACTAGGTGCTCATGCAGTCGGATATAAAAAACTTTGGTTCTGAATAATCCCCCATCCCTTAGTGAACTACTGTAGAATCTCACCCTAGCCTTGTGTCAAGTTTGAAAATTGATTCCGTATAAATTATGCAGTTCAGACACCTGCGTTAATTTTTGATCAATCTAAACCCATATTGTATCCCCTAAATTCACTGGGGAGAAGTTGTATGGTTGATCCAAAATGCGAGCGAGTAAATTGCATCGTTTTACGTGGGCAGGCTAATCGGCACACATGCTAATAAGCCAGTTACCAGGATTGATATTGCATATTGCCAAGTGTTTTAGAGCATAAGACAGTTGTGGCAAACGTTTGAGAAATTTGACCTGCTTTTCTGATTTTAGCTCTAAGGTGGATGAAACAGTGTTGCAATCTCTTCTCTCTTTGGTCGACCTCCACAAGCCGTCATATCTTATACATGCACTAGGAGTGGACTTCGACTGTCAGTCCTACGAGAACTATAAAAATTGGTTCAAGCAGACAGCTGTCAATCAGCATTCATTCCTACATGAAAAATACCTCCTTCCTGAAGTGAGTATAGTGTTAGCTAACCACAAGAACTTGCATTTCTGAAGATATTTGTTTAAATTATAATTCGCATTGAATACCATGAATTAGCTGTTTTTTTTCCTGAATTTAAGTGTAAATTGATCTGAGTTATAGTGTAAATTGAATTGTACCAGAAAAAGTTCATACTTAACCAAAATTGCGAATTTTTCCGGGTTCTGTTGGTTTTAAAGGTTAATAGATTTTGGCTAGAGTTTTTTATAATTAGAAAACGAGGGTAATAATTCTTCTTTCGAACCTTTCAGGATTCTTCTTTGGCCGACGAACTAAAAGTAGTCAATTCTATTCCGTTCAAGTGTAATATTCTTCCCTTGAAGGTTAACCGATCTATCAATTTATGTGGAAGCGAAATAACAACAGCTAACTGGACTTCTAATTCCTCGCTGGGTAACTTGAATTTGGATCCTGTGACATCAAAATTGGACCAAAAAAGATTTTCAAGTACTGGCCAAACTATGTTTAAAAAAGGCGCGGGTTACGAAAAAATGAAAAAAGAGTACGAGCAAAGACGAAAAGATTACAGCGCCGAGAAGAAAAAAGACATTCAAGATCGTCGTAATAAAGTCGCAAAGGCGAATCAGAATTCGAGTGTCAATTCAATCGGAGGAATTGAGTTACATGTTTTGAGCAACGGAAGCCCAGGAGTGGTTCCTGCTGTAGCTTTGACATGTGGACCCAAGATGTTTCTTTTCAACGTCGGCGAGGGAACCCAATTGGCAATTTTGGAGGGTTCCAAGAGATTGAAGAATATAGACTACGTCTTGGTGGGTTCGAATGACTATGAGGCTTTTTCAGGACTGGCGCCGCTCATGTTAACATCAGACGGATCTTGGGGAACTGCGAAGATAATCGCATGTGGGTCGCCCCAGTTGAAGTAAGATCTCATTCGTTTATCATTTTTTGGCTAGCGAGTGTTGGTTTTGGCAAGCATGTTGTACCTAAATATCTTGACAATAAAGTTAGCTTTTGACTCTTGGCCGTATATGAATTAAAATATGTGAGTACGGTTTTTTTCACGTGGATAAAATTAAATACGCGTTAGGCGTAGCTTTGAGCATCGATTGAAGAGTTAATTTTCTAAGAAAAGATTTATTAACCTGACAGTTTTTTAACTAGTTGCTTTTTTGTTACCAGAACCCACCTTGAGAGCAACTACAACATGCTGCGTTTCCTAGAAAATTGTGAAATCTCAAACGTTGAATTCAAAGACATTTTAACAGAGCCGATAGTAGACACCGTTCAAATTGAAGGGCTCAAGATTTCCAGCAGTGACACTACCAAAAACCACTCCGTTTGTTTCCTATGTCATCTACCTGAAAGACCTGGTTCATTTTCAATAGAGAAAGCGAAAGAGTTTGGAATCAAGCCTGGACCCTTAGTTGGACGTATAAAACGAGGGGAGACTTTGACTTTAGAAGATGGTTCTGTTGTAAGACCTGAAGATGTTTTGGAATCCGCTGTGAACTATGGTTCGGTTGCTGTCGTGGACATACAAGATGACTCTTATGTTGATAGTCTCATCAAAAATGAGGCTTGGAGTAAGTTGGGTCGGCCGCCAAGCTTGATTGTTCATTTCACGCCTCAAGAAGTGGTCGAAAATGAAGTCTATCAGCAGTTTGTGAAGGTAAAATTTTTAATATAATGTCTTCATTGATTACCCTTGCGATAAGCAAAGGTATTACAATCGGGTACTAGACATTTCTTCCCGTAAACAACTTTGTCCGCAGGAATTATTGGACTCCTGATATACCTTGCTTTATAATGATTTCAAATTTCTTAGTGTCTCTCGTACACTTAACCTGTTGGTAACAAATACGCCTGGGACGGAAAAGGTCCTGTGTTCGAATCTTACCAGGACCAGTTTTTTTTCAAACGGTTAATATTCCGGATCAGAAAATTCGAATCGAAATTTGCTTTTCACATTGGTTGTAATTTTACTAGCTCGATTCGTAAAATTTTTTTTTTCTCATGTTGTCTTTTTTCTCAGTTTAATTAATATCGATTTAGTGGCCTCTTATTGCGTGGGTACCGTTTTTGTGCGCGTGTGTGTGCTTTGAGGGGAAAAGGGACTTAACACTTTTTTTTAATTTTTTTTCGGCATGAAGGGTTTCTGCTCAGGTATTTTCAGCGTTGTTACCGCTTGGTAATTATAAATTCAAATCCAATCAACCATCTGGCGTAGAGGTAAAACAACCGCTTTAGATGGCAAAGGCTTGCGGTTTGATTCCGGCCGGGCTTTTTTTGCAAACTAGAATTTTTGAGCTCTTTTGGACTATCGTCCGTCGTTTTATTTTTGTCGGCTTGGTTCCGGTAGCTCGTTGGTTCAGCTTTATTTCAAGTTGCAGACGACAAAGCCCGGGAGTTCGATTCCAGTTGAGTTCAATTCCTGTTTTTTTTGCAAATAGAAAATTTTGGCTAATTTAGATTATTGTCTGTCTGCTTTTTTTTTGTCTGCTTAGTTCCGCAGAAAAGACATTTTTTGATGGCACAGGCAATTTTGGTCCGGATATTTTGGGCTTTTGTTGCAATTTGTTTTTGACAAAAACAATTTTTTTGAATTTTTTTTTTTTTCATTTTCCGTTTGATTTTAGACATAGTCATTCATACTTGTATCGCTGTTTAAATAATTGTGTAACTTCCGATGGATATTATTACACGAATTGATTCGTTTTGTGTTGGCTATATCATAATATGCAAAAACTTAGCACTTAATTTTCAATTGATTTTATTTCGATGCAGACCATTAAACTTCACTTTTTGTGTTGTTTAGAAACTCTCCGGTGGTGCTACAGATGAAACTATCCATTTGTACCTGAACAATTCACAATCTGCCGTCTCATCTATTGAAGGGATTTACCACGTGAACTACCTTCTCAACAAATGTTGTCCTGAAATTTTCCCTCTCATTAAAGGATCAGCCTTGAACAAATTTGACATCAATTTGAACAAGAGCAATGAAGTTTCAGTTGCATTTTCGTATAATTTATGGCACCCAAGTGGACAAACGAAAGTAAACAAGGGTTTAGAATTAACAGAAGCGGCTCTTATGAGAGCAGACAAAAAGTTTTTTGAAATTTTCGGAAGCTCGACTAAAGTATTACAATATGACAGATTATTTAATAGCGATGACTTCAAAGAATTCAAAAAAAGTGTTGAAAGTTGGCTGAAAAGTAATTCGACTAAACAAGCCGTTAGTTATCCAAGATTGGTCTGCCTTGGCACATCATCAGCGGGTCCGAGCAAGTACAGAAACGTAAGCGGATACTATATCGAATCGTCGAATAGCAGAAGCTTGATGCTTGATTGTGGTGAAAATAGCTATGCTCAAATGGTTCGTCATTTTGGCCCGGACGAGACATTAAAAAAGCTGTGTTCAGTTAGCCTAATTTTTATTTCGCATACTCACGCCGATCACATTGGAGGCTTGCCTTTGTTTTTGATCAAACGACAAGAGGCTTTTGAAAGGTTACGCGTAGAATATCAACCTTTAGTTCTGTTGTGTCCAACTTACAAACATTTGCAACATTTGAAAAATTTTGAAACAGAAGTTGGAAGAAAGTTTTTTGATCACGACAAAGATTTAATTTTGCTGTGTGAAGAGAACTTCAAAGGTATCAGAAGGCGTGAAACAGAGTCGAAGTTTGAGAATATTCTAGAATCAATTGGACTGGCTAGTTTCGACTGTGTTCCAGTGGACCATAGGACTTTTAAGTCTTTCGGATGTTCGTTTGTGAATAAAGAGGGATTCAAAGTAGCTTATTCGGGGGATACTTTGCCATGTTTGAACATGGTCAATGGTTAGTCTAGTCTATTGATAAACCATAGTATTAAGATGTTTTTCTCTAATTAGGATATTTTCATGTAACGAAGAAAACGGAATATTTATGCTTGGGGTGTTTTTTATTCACAACTTTCAACAATCTAAATAATAGTTTTTGACAAGTATTTTTATGCCTCATTGAAGATATCGACGTCCTGAAATCAAATTTAAAAAAATTATTGTACCTCCAATCATTTTTGCAAAGTTTTCGGAGCTTGAAAATTGCCAATTTGAAGATTTTATGCGCATTTTAAAGATTTTATCCATAATCCTGAAAGCGTAAGCGATTTTTTTTTGTGCGGCGAACTATCCCGCTCAATAAAATTGTTCCAAGTTGAATTGAGGCTAGCTAATAGGTCGTAGTAATTTCGTACGACTCAAATTTTTACACTTGATCTTTGATATTGTCCAAAATTTATAGTGTTTTAATATTTTCTTTTCCCAAACATCTATTCGATATGGATTAAGAGTCATTCAGGGGATCAAGTTAACCCCCCCCCCCCCCCCCCCCCCCAAATAGACCAAGTTAAGATCCTCCACCCCAGCGTTGAATTTAAAATTTAAATTAATTTTGATAAGATTGATCCTCCCCCCTAAACGGATTTGAGGAGCAGGACGTTAACTTGGTCCCACTCAGGGCTTTGCCCCCCTGATATACGAGCAGTCTTGTTGCTTTTCGGACTGTATATAGTCTCGGAAAAAACATGTATCTGTTTCAATGACAGCGTGTGCTTGGAAATTGACAACTTAGAGAATCCATCCTTTATTTATATATACGGCTGATACACAAACATAGATAGAATGAGGTTTAGTTACCATTGATTCAATTAATAAGCATGCAGATTCATTTAACGAGCGTCCACTAAATTGACAATACTTCGATAGACGTCCGTCGAGCCTAAAACCATATTAATGTCATTAAAAATTAGCAACTCAAATTTTTGCTCCCACAACTCCTTTGAAAAAAAGTATCAAAATATTTTTTTTGCCTTGCAAGCGACGCTTTTATAGGCGAGTATGTAGCATTAATCGGAGCTATCTCAGCAAAAAAGGAAATTATACAAATTCAGATTTAGTGATCTTACAAATTTCAGAACGACTTTCTGTTAGAGTAAAAAAAAAATAGGCCGACAAAAAGAAAGCAGACAAACGATATTCCGGAGGAAAAGTCCTATTAATTGTTTTCGCAGTTTGACTTTTAATTTGCTTCTAAGTGAATTGAAATTCATTTGTAGAAAGGAAGGCAGCTTATGCTCTCAGTTAAGAAAGCGTAAATGGCGCAAAAAAGTGTCAATCACAAAAAAAAGCTTGAAATTCAATCAGCTTTGAGGCGATTTATTTTTTCTTTGAAACTGGCTGTTTTTAATGCAAAGCAAACGTTTCAGCTGCGTCCAATGCCGACTTGCTGATCCACGAAGCAACCCACACAGACGACAAGAAATACGAAGCACTCTGTGCGAAACACACTACGATAAGTGAAGCGATAAATGTGCACGACATGGCATGTGCCAAGTTCACGCTTCTCACACATTTCACGCACAGATACTCTAAGTGCATACCGCTGGATTTAAAAGAACTGGAAGGTCGAGATGACATAGGGATAGCATTCGATCATCTGGATGTGACTCCGGATAAGTATGAATTGCTTCCGAAGTTAATCGAGGGATACAAAATGGTGTTCCAGGATCATCTTGAGAAGTTCAAGGAAACTGTGAACATCAGCAGAAGTGAATCGAACGGATCGCTGGCCAGTGAAAGTGAAATGAAGATAGAGAAGCAAGCTAAAAAGAAAGTGAAACTAGAAACAGAATCACAAGTTGTTTGAGATTAAATCTGATTTAAAAATATATTTTTGTTTCTCGTTTTATCTTCGTCAGAAATGAGAATTCCAGATTTATAAAAAATGAACAAAAACTATCTATTAGTCGAGATGAAAGCTGATTTGATTTGGTATTTTTTCTGAAGGAGTCGTATCTAGTCGTTCAAGACTAGTCAGTTGTTTCTCGCTTCTGATTTGCAAGCTCTATTTGATTGATGCTTCAAGAGGAGATTAAGCGTAGCGTAGTCTGAAATTGTAGCCAGTGCAATTTTTGTAAGTTGTGTAGCTCAGTCGCTTGAAAGATAAATAACGATAATAAACTCGGGGATCGAATTGTGGAGTCCCGATTATTTCTACAAAGCACTTTCTGAAATATATACTCGGAAATTTGATTTTTCGCGGTTCGTCTTGTAATTCAAATTCATTTGCGAAAAGTAAGGGAATTTACACTCAAATATGAAAATGGAATTGACGAAAAACCGTGATTGACTAGGGTTCAAAAAAAAGTTTCCATTTTCAATTTCACTGCGAAATAAAAAGTTACCAATTGATTGAGTTTTCTGAAAGATTTTTAATGTGATATATGTTGTTCTTCTCAGTTCGAAATTGAAAGTCGTTCAAAATTAAGTCAATTTTTTTTCAGTTTCTTTGAGTTCATCGAGTAATTTTCAACTGTCTATTGGCTATTTTGGTCATTTTTGAATAGCGAGAAAGAATTGAAATTCAGAGATGAAGAGCAGATAAATTTAGAAGTTAAAAATAATGGGAAACGTCAGATCTGTGGTGCTTGCCTTTATCATCGTCCCTAAACTTTTCCTAAGCGGTACATCACTCTGAATAACAAAAAAAAACAATTTTTGCTAGCACTGAATATATTAAATTTTTGGAATTCGAATGAAGGGGCTTTAGTATGCTGTATCAAACAGCCTTTTACGTTTGTTTTGTGGTATTTGTTTTAGCGTGAAATTTAATGGTCAATTTTTTATCCCTAGAGGCTCGTCGGTACAAAATAAGGAAATTGGCAGCAACTGCAAAAAGTAATAGCATAGATTGTTCCGACCAGCCTTCGAAATTTAAAGCGAAAATTGATTGAAGAAAGACTTGAAGTTTTTTCAACGTGAAAAGATAAGCCCGTAGTAATGATTTTCTTAAACAATATTAATGCTATCATAAGTTTAAACATAATTATACTAGCCAGCGAGCGTGTAGTAGTATGACTACTTTTTCCAATCTAGCTCTCAATTAAAAGGGCTCATTTTATGACGATCGTTAAGCATCCGTGGCTGAGAGGAAAGGTCGTGAGACTCCAAATCTCGAGGTCGCAGTTTTGAGTACGACACGTAGCAAAAATTTAAGGCTTATTTAAGGCAAAAAAATTCGAGGCTTATTTCTTTTATTGCACGTTAAACAGCTGTTTTATGGTGTTTTCTAGCTGGTGTTTTAAGTTAGAGAATTTTTTGGTCAAAATGAAGAGCCAAAGGTAAGTTTTAGTCTGAATGGCAGAAAAATTAGACCAGTTTTTCTCGACACGGAAAAAATTTTCTCGATAAAATTTTTTTAGAAACCGAATCCAAGCTCATTGGCTTTTAGATAATAACCATAATCGTTACGCTTTAATTTTTTTGTGGTACTTGATTTTGTGTGGAAAAAATGGAGCCAGTCAATATTTGTTGCTATTTTTTTGAGAGTATTCGGAACAATAAGGCCTGTCATGCAAAATATGTAGTGTGCATAACATAACTTTCGGGAACGACCAGAACAAAAATCTTAGCCACCTCCCCCTCCCCCCCAGTTATATGAACCCCTCCCAATTTTGGGATGGTCTGCATGAACCCCACCAAAACTTTTTTTCTATGAAACTCATTATTAAAGTTTTGAAAAATTTATTTTTAAAAACTTCAAATCAAAACAGTGTTTTCAACGCAAAAAAATGAACTTTAAATGTGACATGTTTTTGTTAAATTTTCGGAGTTAAATTTTGGCACGATATTGATCAGAATTGGCACTAAGATACGGGAGGTGGGGGGCATATTTTCAAAAAAATTCCCAAAGGTTAGTAGACTTTTTTAATTTTAGGTTGACTAAATTGATTTTCCGAGGTCTCCGAAAGCTGTAAAGAGACCCTGTCATGGCCAAATTTTCTGCGCCACAGGCGAAATTTTTTAAAACCAGGCACTTTTTGGAAAATTTTGACGAAAAAATTGCGGTTTTTTCCGAGCGCTCTTCCCCCTCAAATTTAGTAAATATTGGCGCCCAGGTTCCAAAAACTTTAGGGTCCGTCAGCCAGAAATGGAAATCTCAAAATAGTACAAAGGGGGACCCTTTGGGTCGGCAGGAGGTCGAACCCCCTGAGGAGGGGTCGTCCCCCCTAAATCCAGCACTGATGTTCTGCGTTATTTTGAAACGTTCTTCGAGCTTGCTTCACAAATTGGGTGCTTTCTGGCGCCGCAGGAAAACCTTAGCGTGGCGTAGAGAAAGTAAAGGGCCTAAAGAAAAACCAAGTGCGGTTGCTGCGGTCGATGAAGATGTCTCATAAATGTATTTATTTTCCGATTCAGCAAATAACCCTTTGCGCCAATTTAATTGATTTAGAGTAAAATTTTACTATGCATGGATTTTCACGAATGATCCTATGCCTTAAACGTTCACATATAAAACCCCCAACTTGAATCCAAAATCCAAATAAAGTCGTCACCGAAGTACGTTTAAGGCCACACGCCAAAGAAGTTTAATCTCTTTTGTAATTCGAATAATCATTCTTTCGTTTTGCTCCATTCGGCTTTTGCTTCGCAAATCAAGTTCAGTGTTATCAGGAGGTTGCAGACTGAACAAACAGAAACATCACACATGTCACTTCGTTGCAATAGAACCCGGTACAAGCTTCTTATGTTGGGATGGTGCATCGAAACAATAACACATTCAGCTCTATTCACTTGTGCTCTATTGTAAAACAGATAACAAAATTCAACCTGATTTACCAAGCGAATTTTTCTCCCAACTTACAATTGAATTGACAATACAATATTTTCAAAAAGTTATTTACAAAATTTGTGGCAATTTAAGTTGTGTTACTTTATGGAATAATTCAAATTTTTAGAATGAACGAAAAGTTAGAAATTGCGTTAGACTATCTCAAAATTTTCTTAGCTTGGTGTAAACTGCATCCTAAGTTTTTATCAACCCTTTTTCTATTGTTTCTAACATTCATAACGTTAACGATAGCTCTGTCAACAGACATACCTGAAAATATTTTCAACGCAAATTCCGGGAAAAATAACGGCGGAAATGAAATATTCAACGACTTTCAGTTTAGCGCTTCGCAGATGGAATGGGTGCTTAATAACTGTGGTTTTTATTCTTGCATTGACGGTTTGTGTTATTGTTATGTGAGCTCAGAGAAAACATGGACAGATGCAAACACAAATTGTCAAAGTTCAGGTGAAAAGTTTCATTAGTGATATTTTTGATTTCAGGCTCAATCTATTAGACATAATATCAAAGTCTATGTCCATTTTAAGAAAATAACTGGCGATCTTAAATTTTTTTATCTTTTAAAATAATTTTTCCATTGCTCAACTTTTGCAAATTTGGGCCCAATGATTAAAAGAGACCCGTCGCTTTTTTTTCAATTTGTTCAAATTGAGAATTTTTGAAAATATTTCAGCCGCGAGTGTGTCGATTAGTTTGCTCCGTTTGTCTTTTTGAAAAGTTTTTTGATTTGAAAGAAATTGCTAGATGCCCAGTTGTTGAAAGTAAAGAGTGTTGAGTGCTGAACAAAATGTCAAAATCAGTTTCTCTGGAGTGATACTTTTTTCCTGGAAAAAGTTAATCTCATTTGCTATCCCCATCGATTGCAAAAAGGCAGATCCGTTACTAGGTACAAAACTGCAAAATTTGCACATCCTGAACATCTTAATGAGGGTGGGTTTTCGCTCTTAAATACTATAGTGGGTGGTTAAAGAGAACCGATAGAGGAATACGTTTTTAATGTTCAGGTCTACCAAATGCGCAAATGATGAAACCCCTGAAGGTAGAAAAGGAGGGGGTGTTTGCAACTTACAGAGGCCTGGTCGCATTTATGAGATCGATGAACATGTATTTACGGCCGATTTGGACAGGGCTGTGGCGTGAACATGAGGTATTCTACTTCTTACTAATTCCATTTCAAGTTTTTGAGTTCTTTTCGGATATGAAATTTCTTTTCACTAAATGTTTTTAACCACTAAATTGAATGCACTCAAAACCGGGATAAAATGAGTCTGGCTTGCAGTTTTCTCAAACCTGATTTTTTTTTTCATTCTGAAGTTGAGCGGCTGGCTTAATTTATAACAATATGTAACTTGATTTGTTGTTTCAGAATGAAGACTTTATGAGTGAGAAGGGTGTACCGTACAAGTGGTTCCATACCTACAAAAGAGGAGGTAAGTATGTATTGATATTGAAAATGCTAATTAAACTCCTCTCAGAGAAAGCACAATGCAGATAGCTTACATAAAAAGTTAGCACTGCGATAAGCAAGGATATTGCAATCGGTTACTAGATTTTTCCCGTAAATAGTTTGTTAAAGAATATTCGAAATCAGAAATGGTAAATTTAGGTTCAGTTTATTCAGCAAATTCATTTTTCTTTGAGTCTCTGGCGCACTTGATGTGGAGGTAACGAATACGCCTGGGACCGCAAAGGGCCATGGTTCGATTCTGGCAGGTCTTGTTTTTTGTTCAAACGGTGATTATTCCGTTTCAAAAAAATGTCGGCTTTATATTTGTCTGCTTATGTTTTGTCGCCTTAGTTGCCACATTGCAGATTTGCTTTTTTTGCTGTACAAAGTTACATTTTTGTTGCGTTAGTGTTTTGGTTTTTTCTGCTGTTTGTAATTTAACTAACCTTGTCTTCTATATTTCCTTTTTTGTCCTATATGTTTTTTTGATTGCTTAAAAAGTTTTTTCTGCCGAAATGTTTTCGGATTATATTTTATCGGCTTAGTGTCCTATGCTTTATTCGTTTCAATAGAAACGCAATTTTTATGCTCCCTCCTCTAGACCGCACAAAATTCTAAAAACCTTAATAAAATTTATAGATTTTCATTACATTTTTTTGTTTTTTTTTTCTTTTTCCGCTTGATAAGTTCCGGCTTATAACAAATTAGCTTAATGGCCTTTTTTCGACTAGTGAAAAACGTTTGTATGTCGCGTGTGTCTGTTTTGAGGGTGAGAGGGACTTAAAAACTTTTAATTAGCCTTACTTTTTTTAAAGTTTTTTTTTGTTTTTTTTTCGGCTTTATAGGTTTTGGCCTTGATTATATCGGCTTAGTGGCCTCAAAGGTTTCATATGACTAGCAACTAAAGTTTTATGTGTGTCTGTTTTGAGAGTGAGGAGGACCTATTAACTTGTGTTATTTCAAAACTATACTTATTCATTTTAATAGAGCTAAATTTTTCGACATTTTCGATTTTTTTCCGACATAGCGGCTCTCTTGTTTTGAATCGCAAGTGGTGCGACGCTCAGTTTCAGTTCTGTGTAAAATAATCCCATCTTAGTAGAACCACAAAAAGTTGAAAACTTCGTACCAAAGAATTTGAAGTTTCTAATCGAAGTAGATTCAGGGTCAAAACTATTTAAAAAAGTGATTAAAACGTGATAAACCAGAAAATGGAAAGCAAATCAATAAACTTTTAAATTTTGGCTCTTTGCTGTTATAGTCTCGCCAGTCTAGTAACAAAAAGTTTTTTTTAGTCCAATGACATATGATAATTTAGTTTGGTGGGGGCTTGCAAAAATAAGGAGCCCAATTTTTCCATTATTGAAGATAAAACAGATTGTAGGTTGTGAATTAAAATGAAACATGATGTGGTGTTTCAGATGGCAACTCATACGGCAGTCAGGAAAGCTGCGTGTTCAAGATAAACTCCAAGGGGTGGGCTAGGCTGCCATGTGCAGATCACAGTGTAAGTACATGTCATGTTTTGGATCAACTAAACCACCACCCCACCTTCAACCTCCCCCCCCCCCCCCCCCGCTCCAACAACAACCACCACCCCCTTCACATTAAGGATTGGTAAAACGACGCAAACTTCATAAAAATTACAAATCACAAATCGGTGAATATAATTTTTGCAGTCAGCAAACTTACCATAACACGGCGAGGCGACAACTGGAATATTAAATGTTGTCCAAGCCAGCATTAAGAGTTTCATGCAATTTTTATATTTTTTTTTCTCTGGGTGTCTATATTCTTTCACCCTGAATCAACAAGTGGGGATCGGCGATGGCCTCGATCCTCTGACCTCTCGACTGTGAGGCAGAGAACTTGACCTCTTCGTCACCTATTTCACCTATATCGATTATTTGGCAATTCTAATGTTTTTCCACCTTTTTCACAGTCTACTGTGAACTTGCCGCCAGAATTCGCCGATATTATTCTTGCCAAAGAAGATAATCAGAAATATTTGCGCTGGGCCACCCCTCAGGCTGAAATCTACGTCAATGTGGCAATTTTGTGCGAACTAGACACTACAAGTATGGACAATAACAGGTGAAATTTTTTTTATTCGGGTCAAAATCAATAATAAATTGTTTTCAACAGGGGCGGATCTATGATTTTCTCAAGGGGGTGGGTGGCGGATTTTGCAAAAAAAAATTCCAAAATTTTGTCGATCTTTTTTTAGGTTGACCAAATTGATTTTCTGAGCTCTCCCAAATCACTATAAAGGAAAGCCCCCCCCCATTTTGACCAAAATTATTGCGCCGATTTGGTTAAAAAATTTTCAGGCTTACAATACATTTTTTTGGTTATTTTCAATTTATATCATGCTAAACAGAAAAAAAATTCATAAGGCAGAAAAAAACAAAAACAAGGATCTTATTATTAAGTCAAAGCTCTCTTAAACTTGAAAAATTAACTTCCGAGCTAGGCATCTGGCTGCTGAACTAAAAAAAACTGAATGAAGAATGAAAAATAATAATAAAAACGAAATAAAGCGAAAGCAAAAGAATTCGAATGCAAAATGAGAAAACATGGCTGAATATGCTTCAAATCGAGTGGCAAGTCTATCTCATTGTTTTCGTGCAACACACTTGTTGGCGCAAATTTAGACAAAATATAGCCCTCTTCGTGGGTTCTGAATATAATGAAATATCAATGCGGCAATACAACGAAAATTTAATTTGAAAAATTAAAACAGCTGCAGACGTTTGAAAATTGCCCTGTAAAATCGGCGATGGTAACTTTTACTCTCTGAGTAGCTGCAAGTTTTTCAATACTAAATTGGTTCGTATCTTTTCGAGAAAATAGAATGAATTTAAGCGGGATTTTGTGACCCGAGTTTTGAAATTTCACCTATTTTTAGTATGGCTTTGGTTAACGATAATCTGGGCTCAACCTTCATCGAAACAGACGATGAATTGAAGTATTATTTCTTCAAGGAAGACTTCAAATTCTGGAGACAAAATCGCAAGAGTGAGTGTTTAAATAAGTACATGTATTTGCCTATGTTTAATTGAAGCAGGTTTCTTTTTGACAACTGTCAAGACCAGGGGCGGATTTAAGAGGGGGACGCCTCCCCCTCAGGGATTCGCTATGTGCCGACCCAAAGGGTCCTCCTTTGTACTATTCTGAGATATCCATATTTGGCTGACTGACCCTAAAATTTTTCTAAAGGCGCCTTTGGCGCCAAAATATACTAATTTTGAAGGGCAAGTGCGCGCCGAAAAAAAAAGCAATTTTTTTTCAATCTTTTTGAAAAATTGCATACATAGAAACGCAATTTTTTGGTCAAATTTTCCAAAAAGAATCTAAAACGCCGCTTTTTTGCCCGTTTTATTCAAAAATTTGCCGGCGGTGCAGAAAATTTGGTCAGAATGGGATCTTTATAGTGTTATAGTGATTTAGGAGAGCTCAGAAAATCAATTTGGTCGACCTAAAAAAAAGTCGACCTAGATTCGTCCCTGGTCACGACGTTTTTTTGAACTCAATAAAAACGATTAGGAAAAAGTTTTAAATTTCTTTCTCTTGTATAAATTGCAAATTAACCATTCAAAAACTGAAATTGCAATGATATTATGAAGTTAATTTCAATTTGAAGCTCTGATTCGAAGCACGTTTTTAGCTATGTCCACGTCATGTTTTTGCAATTCTAAAGAAAGTCGCAAAAAGTAAAAGCAAGTTGGGTTTATGATATAATGTTCTTTACTTCTCTATCCTATGCTATCCTATGCTATCCTATTCCAAAATATCCAAACATAATGCCCAGGTGCATGTATCTTACGTCAACTACAAATCTCACATGGCGAGTCAAATAAAGTAGGAAATTACAATCGGATAATCAAAGGATTTACTCTCTAGATACTTTTTGATGAATTGTTTTTAATCATTTAGTCGAGCCCAGATTTTAATAACGGCGAATGTGAAAAAATTTAGAATAATACTAAATTTTGAAAATAAGTGTGACATCATAATCTTTTCTAATCATAACCATTCAACGATCGCTATTTCCAAAAACAGGCAAATCGAAAAGTGGCTGTATAGAAAAGGCAAAGTCAAGCCATTGTGCCAACCTTCAAGTGCATGGGTTGCTCTGCACGAACGAGACCTTCAACCGCGTTTTCATAATAATCCAAGAGCGCTTGGGGAACGAAAAACAGTTCTTGTCGTAATATAGTCTCTATCATACTACGACCATGAAGCCACCTCGCCATATTTCCCCGAGGGTATCAGTGGAAACATAAACTGATACCAACCTCATCCGCGGAGTCGCAGACTTGACATCTGAGCCAGGAACGAAATTTATAGCTAGAATAGCTTTTTTAGATTTGGTGCAAGCTATGCGTAGGTTTCGCAGGTTTTTTTTTAAATTTTCTGCTCCCATGTTAAGTTCAAGAACACAGCTCGGCAATTTTCTTGGAAGATATCGCTGCAAACATAAACTGATTGGAATTATCGCAATTTATCAAACTCATCGGCGGCTTAACGGAAACGCAGACTCGGCATCTGAGAGAAACGAATTTTATAGCTTGAATGTTTTTGAAATTGATGCAAATTTAGCTTCATTTTTGCAGTTCTTTTAAAAATCTCTATGTGAAGTTTTGCCTTAAAATTTGCGGCATAATCGCTAGTAAAATCTTTTAATTTCAGTTTCAAATTAATCAAAAAAGATATTTAAGGCTGCCGATTATTTTTTTCTGGTACGATGTGTCCAATATGGTAATCGGAGCTCTTATGAGTTTGTTTCAAGTATCCTCTTTTTTATAGCTGAGCACAGTTTAAAAACAAGATGATAAAAACCACCGATTTGCATTTGTACTGTGTTTAATAAAAAGTTTACTATATTACAAATTCTGACACAAAGCCGAGCGAAAAACGTTCGAGTGTTGAAATCTTTGAGGATAATTGATATTAATTTGTCACATTTTCCGCTCGCTATCAACTATACCGAAAGATAAATTTTTACCGGAATTGTCAACTGACGTTCTGTCGTGTGAATCATTTTAAGTGGTTTTGCTCCGACTGACGTTTCGCATTGAAGTTGTAAGCGAGGGCAGAAAAATTTGAGTCACTGGATTGTAGCTGGACTATTGGAATTGTGTTTTGAAATAATCAAAAGTCATTGGGAAATGGCCTTTTCTCCTAAGGCCACTGTGTGGTAAAAGTTGTCTCATCGTGAATTCATGTCCATCCCAAAAAAAAACAAATTTTTAATTTGTTGACTTTAACTTAATGCTATTTCTTTTAATTTTTGAAATTTAAATGAGACTCAGTCGAGCTTGCGAGCGTTAGTGAATCAGAGAATTTTTCTTTGAGACTCTGGCGCACTTGATGTGGAGCTAACGAATACGCCTGGGACCGCAAAGGGCCATGGTTCGATTCTGGCAGGACTTGTTTTTTTGTTCAAACGGTGATTATTCCGTTTCAAAAAAATGTCGGCTTTATATTTGTCTGCTTATGTTTTGTCGCCTTAGTTGCCACATTGCAGATTTGTTTTTTTTTGCTGTACAAAGTTACATTTTTGTTGCGTTAGTGTTTTGGTTTTTTCTGCTGTTTGTAATTTAACTAACCTTGTCTTCTATATTTCCTTTTTTGTCCTATATGTTTTTTTGATTGCTTAAAAAGTTTTTTCTGCCGAAATGTTTTCGGATTATATTTTATCGGCTTAGTGTCCTATGCTTTATTCGTTTCAATAGAAACGCAATTTTTATGCTCCCTCCTCTAGACCGCACAAAGTTCTAAAAACCTTAATAAAATTTATAGATTTTCATTACATTTTTTTGTTTTTTTTCTTCTTTTTCCGCTTGATAAGTTTCGGCTTATAACAAATTAGCTTAATGGCCTTTTTTAGACTAGTGAAAAACGTTTGTATGTCGCGTGTGTCTGTTTTGAGGGTGAGAGGGACTTAAAAACTTTTAATTAGCCTTACTTTTTTTAAAGTTTTTTTTTGTTTTTTTTCGGCTTTATAGGTTTTGGCCTTGATTATATCGGCTTAGTGGCCTCAAAGGTTTCATATGACGAGCAACTAAAATTTTATGTGTGTCTGTTTTGAGAGTGAGGAGGACCTATTAACTTGTGTTATTTCAAAACTATACTTATTCATTTTAATAGAGCTAAATTTTTCGACATTTTCGATTTTTTTCCGACATAGCGGCTCTCTTGTTTTGAATCGCAAGTGGTGCGACGCTCAGTTTCAGTTCTGTATAGAATAATCCCATCTTAGTAGAACCACAAAAAGTTGAAAACTTCGTACCAAAGAATTTGAAGTTTCTAATCGAAGTAGATTCAGGGTCAAAATTATTTAAAAAAAGTGGTTAAAACATGATAAACCAGAAAATGGAAAGCAAATCAATAAACTTTTAAATTTTGGCTCTTTGCTGTTATAGTCTCGCCAGTCTAGTAAGAAAAAGTTTTTTTTAGTCCAATGACACATGATAATTGAGTTTGGTGGGGGCTTGAAAAAAGAAAGAGCCTAATATTTCCATTATTGAAGATAAAACAGATTGTAGGTTGTGAATTAAAATGAAACATGATGTGGTTTTTCAGATGGAAACTCATACGGCAGTCAGGAAAGCTGCGTGTTCAAGATAAACTCCAAGGGGTGGGCTAGGTTGCCATGTGCAGATCACAGTGTAAGTACATGTCATGTTTTGGATCAAGTAAACCACCACGCCACCTTCATCAACCTCCCTCCCCCCCCCCCGCTCCAACAACAACCACCATCACCTTCACTCGGCGTTAAGGATTGGTAAAATGACGCAAACTTCATAAAACTACAATTCGGTGAATATAATTTTTGCAGTCAGCAAACTTACCATAACACGGCGCGGCCACAACTGGAATATTAAATGTTGTCCAAGCAAGCATTAAGAATTTCATGCAATTTTTATATACTTTTTTCTCTGGGTGTCTATGTTTTTTCACCCTGAATCAACAAGTGGGGATCGGCGATGGCCTCGATCCTCTGACCTTTCGACTGTGAGACAGAGAACTTGACCTCTTCATCACCTATTTCACTTATATCGATTATTTGGCAATTCTAATGTTTTTTGATCTTTTTCACAGTCTACTGTGAACTTGCCGCCAGAATTCGCCGATATTATTCTTGCCAAAGAAGATAATCAGAAATATTTGCGCTGGGCCACCCCTCAGGCTGAAATATACGTCAATGTGGCAATTTTGTGCGAACTAGACACTACAAGTATGGACAATAACAGGTGAAACTTTTTTATTCGGGTCAAAATTAATAATAAATTGTTTTCAACAGGGGCGGATCTATGATTTTCTCAAGGGGGTGGGTGGCGGATTTTGCAAAAAAAATCCAAAATTTTGTCGACTTTTTTTTAGGTTGACCAAATTGATTTTCTGAGCAGTACCAAATCACTATAAAGGCCTCATTTTGACCGAAATTTTTGCGCCGATTTGGTTAAAAAATTTTCAGGCTTACAATACATTTTTTTGGTTATTTTCAATTTATATCATGCTAAACAAAAAAAATCATAAGGCAGAAAAAAAAACAAAAAACAAGGATCTTATTATTAAGTCAAAGCTCTCTTAAACTTGAAAAATTAACTTCCGAGCTAGGCATCTGGCTGCTGAACTAAAAAAAACTGAATGAAGAATGAAAAATAATAATAATAACGAAATAAAGCGAAAGCAAAAGAATTCGAATGCAAAATGAGAAAACATGGCTGAATATGCTTCAAATCGAGTGGCAAGTGTATCTCATTGTTTTCGTGCAACACACTTGTTGGCGCAAATTTAGACAAAATATAGCCCTCTTCGTGGGTTCTGAATATAATGAAATATCAATGCGGCAATACAACGAAAATTTAATTTGAAAAATTAAAACAGCTGCAGACGTTTGAAAATTGCCCTGTAAAATCGGCGATGGTAACTTTTACTCTCTGAGTAGCTGCAAGTTTTTCAATACTAAATTGGTTCGTATCTTTTCGAGAAAATAGAATGAATTTAAGCGGGATTTTGTGACCCGAGTTTTGAAATTTCACCTATTTTTAGTATGGCTTTGGTTAACGATAATCTGGGCTCAACTTTCATCGAAACAGACGATGAATTGAAGTATTATTTCTTCAAGGAAGACTTCAAATTCTGGAGACAAAATCGCAAGAGTGAGTGTTTAAATAAGTACATGTATTTGCCTATGTTTAATTGAAGCAGGTTTCTTTTTGACAACTGTCAAGACCAGGGGCGGATTTAAGAGGGGGACGCCTCCCCCTCAGGGATTCGCTATGTGCCGACCCAAAGGGTCCTCCTTTGTACTATTCTGAGATATCCATATTTGGCTGACTGACCCTAAAATTTTTCTAAAGGCGCCTTTGGCGCCAAAATATACTAATTTTGAAGGGCAAGTGCGCGCCGAAAAAAAAAGCAATTTTTTTTCAATCTTTTTCAAAAATTGCATACATAGAAACGCAATTTTTTGGTCAAATTTTCCAAAAAGAATCTAAAACGCCGCTTTTTTTGCCCGTTTTATTCAAAAATTTGCCGGCGGTGCAGAAAATTTGGTCAGAATGGGATCTTTATAGTGTTATAGTGATTTAGGAGAGCTCAGAAAATCAATTTGGTCGACCTAAAAAAAAGTCGACCTAGATTCGTCCCTGGTCACGACGTTTTTTTGAACTCAATAAAAACGATTAGGAAAAAGTTTTAAATTTCTTTCTCTTGTATAAATTGCAAATTAACCATTCAAAAACTGAAATTGCAATGATATTATGAAGTTAATTTCAATTTGAAGCTCTGATTCGAAGCACGTTTTTAGCTATGTCCACGTCATGTTTTTGCAATTCTAAAGAAAGTCGCAAAAAGTAAAAGCAACTTGGGTTTATGATATAATGTTCTTTACTTCTCTATCCTATGCTATCCTATGCTATCCTATTCCAAAATATCCAAACATAATGCCCAGGTGCATGTATCTTACGTCAACTACAAATCTCACATGGCGAGTCAAATAAAGTAGGAAATTACAATCGGATAATCAAAGGATTTACTCTCTAGATACTTTTTGATGAATTGTTTTTAATCATTTAGTCGAGCCCAGATTTTAATAACGGCGAATGTGAAAAAATTTAGAATAATACTAAATTTTGAAAATAAGTGTGACATCATAATCTTTTCTAATCATAACCATTCAACGATCGCTATTTCCAAAAACAGGCAAATCGAAAAGTGGCTGTATAGAAAAGGCAAAGTCAAGCCATTGTGCCAACCTTCAAGTGCATGGGTTGCTCTGCACGAACGAGACCTTCAACCGCGTTTTCATAATAATCCAAGAGCGCTTGGGGAACGAAAAACAGTTCTTGTCGTAATATAGTCTCTATCATACTACGACCATGAAGCCACCTCGCCATATTTCCCCGAGGGTATCAGTGGAAACATAAACTGATACCAACCTCATCCGCGGAGTCGCAGACTTGACATCTGAGCCAGGAACGAAATTTATAGCTAGAATAGCTTTTTTAGATTTGGTGCAAGCTATGCGTAGGTTTCGCAGGTTTTTTTTTAAATTTTCTGCTCCCATGTTAAGTTCAAGAACACAGCTCGGCAATTTTCCTGGAAGATATCGCTGCAAACATAAACTGATTGGAATTATCGCAATTTATCAAACTCATCGGCGGCTTAACGGAAACGCAGACTCGGCATCTGAGAGAAACGAATTTTATAGCTTGAATGTTTTTGAAATTGATGCAAATTTAGCTTCATTTTTGCAGTTCTTTTAAAAATCTCTATGTGAAGTTTTGCCTTAAAATTTGCGGCATAATCGCTAGTAAAATCTTTTAATTTCAGTTTCAAATTAAACAAAAAAGATATTTAAGGCTGCCGATTATTTTTTTCTGGTACGATGTGTCCAATATGGTAATCGGAGCTCTTATGAGTTTGTTTCAAGTATCCTCTTTTTTATAGCTGAGCACAGTTTAAAAACAAAATGATAAAAACCACCGATTTGCATTTGTACTGTGTTTAATAAAAAGTTTACTATATTACAAATTCTGACACAAAGCCGAGCGAAAAACGTTCGAGTGTTGAAATCTTTGAAGATAATTGATATTAATTTGTCACATTTTCCGCTCGCTATCAACTATACCGAAAGATAAATTTTTACCGGAATTGTCAACTGACGTTCTGTCGTCTGAATCATTTTAAGTGGTTTTGCTCCGACTGACGTTTCGCATTGAAGTTGTAAGCGAGGGCAGAAAAATTTGAGTCACTGGATTGTAGCTGGACTATTGGAATTGTGTTTTGAAATAATCAAAAGTCATTGGGAAATGGCCTTTTCTCCTAAGGCCACTGTGTGGTAGAAGTTGTCTCATCGTGAATTCATGTCCATCCCAAAAAAAAACAAATTTTTAATTTGTTGACTTTAACTTAATGCTATTTCTTTTAATTTTTGAAATTTAAATGAGACTCAGTCGAGCTTGCGAGCGTTAGTGAATTAGTACGACGAAAAATCTAACTTAACTGGCAAATAAAAGTGTTCATTTATTTGGTGGCACTTTTGCTACAATAACGATTTGTAGCATTGGAAATTTCAAAGCATCTGTTCTCGGCTTTATTTATGGCTAATGTTTGTGATTAATTAAGCGTCAATGGGTGATCCCGATAAAAGCTCCATTTTTCACAATTGGATGAACGGAAAATTTGCTCAAGGTTGTTCTTTTTTACCTCCAATAAAGTTCATGTAATACGAATAACACAGTGGGTTTCTTTTTCAACCCAGTATGCTGAAAGGTTCCACCCAAAATACCGAGGATGAATGGCATACGTAGTGAACAATGCTGGCCCCAAAGTGTTAAAATATCTTTTCTCTGCTAGCTCAATCCATTCTCTGGCTTTGCTCCCAAAAGGACAAAACTCAGCTAATAGAGCTTTCCATGCTGAAACAGAGTCGCCAACTGTTACATGGTCGCCTTGGACTTTGTTCAGAGCTAAATGAACAGGCTTCAATGACTTTAGTGCTTTTTCACTGTGCGGGTACACAACTAAGTCATTCAATATTTTTTGAACTTCCTTTGCAGGTTGTTTGGAAAAATAGTCAGGTGTAGATGAAACTACGGTACGATGGAGTTGCCAGTTCTTAATAAACCATTCCAGGGTTTTGACACTGCTACTCCATCTCGTTTCGCAAGGCAATGGCGGCAATGATCACTCAGAAGCCTTGAGCCAAGCTTGGGGCAGATGGCAATTCCTGAAAAGTTTGGCCACCGTCAAAATTTTGGCGAGTGGAGGTTTCAGATTCTTTGCCAACAAGTTCAGGGAATGTGCTGAACAGCCGTACTCGATAATTGATGTCCCCTCTACGGCGCTTCGTCTCGTCTTCACCATATAAATAGCATTATCAGACACAACTCCATCAATTTCTGCGTTGTAGTTTTTCTTGGAACGTTGTATCCCATTATATACCAAGGTTTCTAGGTAATCAGAAGTATGGGCATACCCTGACGTATCGATAGAGTCGAGAATATATATCTTGTGACGCTGTTGAATCGGCAGGATCATTGGAGACGTTAGACCACCCGTCGATAGCAAGTGTAGGAAGGGATCTGTTCAATTGTACCTTCGCCTCTTCCTGCAGATCGCAATACACTTCTTCCAAAACTTCATTTCCGATAACTTTTCTAGTCGGCAGTTTATATCCTGGGTGTAACAACTCAACGAAGTTCTCAAATTATTTGTTTTCAACAGCGCGAAACGGGATATTGCAGGCAAAAAAGGTTTTCCCAAGAGTTTTGTCGAACTTTACTGTGACATAGTGAGTCGTTCTGTCCACGAAAAAGTTGCTTTTTGTTGTTTCGGAGTGCTCGGAGTATCAGTATGTTTTTCAGAATTTTGGGGATAGTTGTGTTTCTCGGAATGTTTCTTCATCCTTGAGGGAATGCCGGCAAAAACTGCTTCACAGTACCGGCATTTTGCTTTATTGTTATCAAGTTTCTCATACTCTGCCCAGACGGGGTCAGGTTTTCTTCCAGTAGGCGTAGACATTTACTATTCTGTCAATTAGGCCCTTTTTCTTCTCCCCCCAACCTGCGAAATTTTAGAGTAATTTGTCTGTTCACGTAGTCGGATTGTGATCAAATTTGGCATACGGACTAACTAGGCCATGACAAACATATTAAGTATTCATACTCAATCTTGTAAAACCACTCGTTACACCATGAAATCGATACTTATGTTTAGGAAAAAGAGCCGTCAATTCTTTCAAGCAATACAATTGTTACGTGTTTCTATGGTGATTTCCCATAGGTTCCAATATTCATAAGGTTCCAAAATAAAAATTCAGTCTCATAAGTTCCAAAATGTATCTTTTTAGATTCTGATTGGTTGAAATTTGAGCCAACAAATTTATGAATCGATTACTTACTGTTCAACCAGCATAAACTTAAGCTGCAGAATAGTGACCGCCGCAGCCGCGCCAACGTGTTGCGAGCTTGCCACCAAATGGCAGGACTCTATACGAAATTAAGAGCCGGTTATCGCCGCGAAGCGACGACGCGCGCGTAGCGTGCCCACTGGCGACGTTAAACCGAGACTCGGCTAATTTACCAATTGACCGAGACTCTTTTGACCAATTGAAAAGATTTGGAACTTATGCGACTGCTTTTTTATTTTGGAACCTATGGGATTGATTTTTTGGTTTTGGAAAACGTTCTGTGTTATTAAAGGACCAACACTGCAATATAATCAACTATTTTCAATAAGAAACCGAGGAAAGCGGTAAAACTCCATTCTTCTACGATCCAATCTTTGATCTAGGAGGGTTGTATACTGAAAATTCTAGAAAAAAAAACAATATGAAATCTTGTGACATGTAAAAAATTATGGAACGTAGGACGTAGCAACTGAACTAAACAGCAAATGAAAACAAATGTGTAAAGTCATCAATAATCTCTCAAAAAGTCCAGGCCTGACTAGGCTTAGATGTGGCCGCCATCCCCTCGCCACTCTTAGTGTCCCTTTACGAACGATAAGACATCTAAGGCACCACTACCCGCACTGGAATTTTAAGAATATTAATTGATTATATTGGATTTTGTTGTCCGTTTCTAATTCAAAAATAGCCCATGATAATCTATTAAAAATGAATTAAAATCTTCATTTTTTTCAATTTGCCAAAATCACTTTCAATCGTTTACAATCTTTTATAACAGACTAAAATCATTTTTCCCCAAATTATGATTGAAACTTCAAGCAGAGTGCACAAGGTATAAAACTTAACTGTTGCTTTTGGCTTGATACTCGTTGCATCAGATAAAACGAGAATAATTCGGCTTAGAAAATAATTATTTTGTCAATTTTTTGGTTCACTTTTTCACTAATTTTTATTCATTGAACTCCTGTGCGCGTAGCACTAAAACAAACTAATCCATTTGAAGAGTGATGGTGCGGATAGCCAAAAAAAAACAATATTTTTGCCTGATTTTTTAAAAAGGTTCAAAAAGTTTAATGACGTGATTTTTTTTGTGATGCTGAAAGCTTTGGTAAACTATTCATTTCAGTGTTTGGTAATAGATTTCGAAAATTGATGTTGTTGACCTAAAAATTTAAAAACCCTTCCAGCAACCATGCAAGATCCGGATTTGTTGATAGTTTGATTTGGCTCGGAAAAACTGGTGCACTGGTGGTATACATCTATCTTTTCCAAAAAAAGTAATAAAAAAGTATTTTTAGATGGATGCAGTACTGGATTTAACCTGAACAACGCAATAACCAGTCGGGCAGTGATCAAAACTAAAGAGGAGGAACAATTTGTTCTGGATGGAACGGATAAAATGGGCCGCATTTTCCTCGAAATAGGACTGGGAAACATGGAAGATAGCTATGGACAGCTGAAGTGGGACAACAATGGCAATGGTATGGCCCCCGAGGACATGAGGTGGTTCTACAATGAGAGCATGCGAAGTGCATTTAACTGTCTCGCTACGCAGTCATGTAAGATATTTCGTCATCTTAACAAAGAGATTTTTTCTCTATAATCATATATGTACATAACAGTAAGTTTTAAACATTACAGATAGTTATAACTCGGTCAAAAATGAAGTGTGGTATGTTTTTTTTTAGTTTCGTAGAGTTCTAAAAACTGGAAAGTGTTTGATGTGAAAAAAAAAAACCACCTGAAGGTAGACATTTTTTTGCATAACAAGGTTTACGTAGGATTTCCACTGAGATCGGAGAAGTGTATCGCCGAAAACTAAAGGACATCTTTTTTTTTATTAGTGTTGATGTGACCTGGATGGTAAGACAGCGTATGTTGTGTTGTGTATCAGTTGTGTTGACCTTATGCTAAAAAAATTGGTTATAGATTTAAGAAACTTTATTCACTATTAACTTTCATACCATTTGGGAATTGTTGGCAGCGCTAAATGTGCTTTTTGCTGTCAGCAATTCAAACACACTAATCGAAAAAGCTTTTTAAAATTTTTCAAGAAAAAAATCAAAATGATTGAAAAGTTAGTTTCGTATTTTCACCTCACGACAGAATAAATTATTAAAGCTTTTCGTAAATAGAAACGGTTAAAAAGCATTTATCAGAAATAATTGCGACGTTTTCTTAATCATAATTTTATAAATTTTAGTTTCACATTCCGACTTGCAAATCGATTGGGCTGCTGTGAGCTGCAGAGAGGCGAGTCCAAGTATCTGTACATTCACCCCTCCCAAGCTGAAGAAGCAGGAAGTGGCTGCTTCTTTTGAGGGGACTTACGGGACTTATTTGAACCACTACAGATCCTTCTTCTGCATTGGCGACAATGGCAAGGAAAGATGTTTCGCTGCATTAAGTGTAAGTTTTGGTCCGGCTGTTAAAAGTGGAGTCTTGTTTCTTATCGTTTTTCCCAAATTGAGGTCATTTTTGCCCTGAAACTTAATCAAGTATCGGATTAAAAAATGAATGTGTTGGCTTGCAACGAAAGAGTACAAATAGAAGCGCTATTTCATTAAAAATGAAAATGTACAAACAAAAATTTGTAAATGGAAATAGAGAGTGTATGAATCAATTTATTCGTGGAAGCGATGTCGACGTGGAAAACTATTCAGTTTTTTTTAGTTCATTTGGGAGGAGGTAGGTGTTTGGCTTTCCTTTTTTTTAGCCAACTAGCCCGGTAAAAAAAATTGTAGCCCTATTAGAGAATGATTTAAATTTTATTGGCGGCAATATTTTTCTGGTACGCTACAATGGGAAAGTGCCGGATATCATTTTTGGTTATCAGTCTTGATTTTTGGTTATTATTTTGGGTAGTTGTTTCATATGTTTTAGCCTAATTTTGAGACATCGATAGATTTTTTACGAGGCAATGACTTGAAAGTTGCTGTACTTAATGAAAAAGAGAAAGATATTGTGAAGAACAAAATCAAGCCAAGGGCCGGTGTTTTTGTTGGTGCAAGCGCCATGCGTCTCGGAAATACATTTGAGTGGCTTTATGGCGGAGGTTTAGTAAAGCTCAACCCATCAGAGAAAGAAGCGATTCACGCTCACATGGCCGACGAGACGGTTGACCGAAAAATGTGTTTGGTGCTTCTATCCGACGGAACTTATTCTTCAACTTCCTGTGGAGCTCGGTTTGAAACTTTAATTGAGCTGGACAAACATAGCTTTGATTTTCTCAAATTGAGCTTCTGGTAACCAAAATTGTACGAATCAGTTGCAAGGGCGGATCTACGATTTTCTCGAGGGTGGGGGTGGGGGGGGTGGATGGGGGGGGGGGGTGGTGTTGTAAGGGGGGTGGATTTTCAAAAAATTTTCAATAATTTAGACTACCTTTTTTTAGGTCGATCAAATTGATTTTCTGAGCTCTCCCAAACCACTATAAAGGCCCTAACGTGAGCAAGTTTTCTGCGCGGCAGGCAAATTTTTGAAAAAAAACAGGTCAAAAAAGCCGTTTTTGGGCACTTTTTGGGCGCTCTCCCTCAAAAAAGTATACATTGGTGCCAAAGGCGCCTTTAGAAAATTTCTAGGGTCCGTCACCAAATATGGATATCTCAAAATAGTTCTAAGGGGGAACCCTTGGGGTCGGCAGGGTGTCGAATCCCTGAGGGCGGAGGGGCGTCCGCCCCCCCCCCCCCCTAAATCCGCTACTGATCAGTTGTATATGATTTTTATTTATTAATAGAATTTTGTATGTTATGTTTTGTAATGCAATAATCGCTTCCAATTGAAACATTTTCGATTTGTGTTTTTAAACCAGATTTCAAGAGATTTGATTCGTGGGAACAATGAAAGCATTTTATTAGTTTCAAGAACTAGATCAGTTCATCTCACTTTAGCGAATGTATTTTCAGCAGACTAACCGAACTTTGATTTCAATAGAGCTCTTACTTCTTATAAGCGTTTTTGAAGTTTCTTATTAAATAATAACAAAGCATGTATAGAAACTCCATGGTTATACCAAACGATCACTTACGAAAGAGCCAGCCTTAACAAAGAGATAAAGAGATCCTTTCAAAAAGCAAATCCATTTGTTGTGTAAGGAATTCAAATTGATCTTAGCTCAGCAATTTATGCAATCGATTTGAGAAAAAAACTAAACTGCAGTCTGAGTTAGGACTGGAGTGTAACTCATAGAGTAATTTCGGATAGGGTACACCGTCTGCTCGTCACGCTATCTTATTTTCGGCCGGATAGATTCGTGCAACTTCTTAGTCTAATACCGATCCTAATCTTACTCTTATACTATCTAGTCTCAGGTTGTTTAACTAGTCTCTGCTAGGCTCAATAGATCTAGGGTATACTGGTTTATTGCGGCTGCTGAAGTGCTCGGGAGAGTCCAACTAATTTCTAAGTTAAATTCAAATCTCTCTGGTGCTGAAATTACAAGTAACTTCAGCACTTACAAATAAGTGGGTTGTTAGTTAGATGGATCATGATTGGTTAATATTAAATACTTTACATTGGTAAAACATTTAATTTATCCAATCATAAAATATAGTTTAGATCAGGTTCCACCCATCCGGGTTTTACAGAGTTTTTTAGAACAGTTCTTTTGTAGTTCAAGGATGGATGATGGACGTTGGTATTTGGCGAACATCATTTTTCTTTTGTTTCCTTTTTGTTAAGGAAGTTCCAGGGATCTGGAATTGAGGACACAAGACGTTGTGTTCTTCTTGTGACAACGACTGAGTCTCTGCAACAGCATCAATTCTGGTTTCAGAATGGTTGGCTATGTCAGGTTTTTCTGTTCTTCGGAGAGAACTTCTTTTGTGTTTGGTCTAGCTCGGGAATGGCGTGGAGGTTGTGCGTGGAGGGGATGCCTGGCTACTCGGATCTGTACGTATACTTGAACATCGAGGTGGTCATTGGTCTAGTTCAATGAAGTCCTTTTCTGCGAAGTCAAGTCGTACTCTAAATCCTTTGAGTTGTGATTGTGAGCGGCATATCGATTGTAGTTGGTCATTCTCTCTCGAGTGTAGTGAGGTCGTCTTGTCTTTTGATGTTCGTCCTTGGTGTTGTATTCTGATCTATATATTGCATCATGTGATTTTACATTTTATAAAACTTTTATTAATTTAATATTTTTTAATTATGATTTTAGTTAGTTGTTTTCACAAAAGCTTTTTGTTTTAGTTTGGTTATTTTGAAGAGTTACTCACCCTTGAGTAGCTCTTATTAAAAATAAAGGTGTGGTCACAAAGCGTGGATGTAGCGCGGTGGGTTAGGCCGGCTATAGAGCATGCTCAGGACGTCCTTTCCTGGTGGGTTAGGCCAGGTGTGGGAGTATGATTTCATGCGGTTTTTGTGAGGGGTCCTGTTATGTGACAACGTTTTATGTTGGGTTTGTTGTGGTCTTACTTATGTCTTGTTGGTTATGTACTTTTTCCAAAAAGCAAATTGTTTGTGTTATGGGTTTGTCTTTCGACTTTTTTGTGTTTTATTATTTCTTTCTAAGACTTTGTAATAGTCTTCAAAAGAATAAATTATCCAGTTTTAAACTGGGTTAATCCGGTTTGGGTACCGTTGGTTTCCTTTTCTTAGTCATGCTGTTATTTTATGATTTGTGGTATTTAGTAAGCTGCGTTGGTTAGTTTTGTTTAGTATATGATTCCTTTCCAACCGGGTTAAAGGAAAGTTTGAAACTTGTTATTATTTGTTAGAGTTGTTGAGTGTGAAAACTTGAAACTGAAATTCATTATTTTAAACAATTCTTCGTGGGCGAGCTGTGCGAGTGTGGATAGAATTTCTGTGCGAATGAATGAAAATATCAAAAGGTTAGTACTGCAATTGCATTTTATTAATTTACTGCATAGAATTTGGAAATTTACTGCTAGTAATGGGGGAATTTTAAGATACAAATTTTCATCATATGTAGATTTACTGCTTTTTAGGGGAAAATTTTATAAATTAATTTACTGCATTGGTATTATATTTATTGAATTGTTGGTGCAAAAGTTAAAAGGTTCTTAAACCGTTTTGAAGAAGTTTGCTATTTTTTATTTTTCTTTTGTGAATTTTTCAGATGATTGAAGATGAAGGCTAAAAATCTAAAGAAAACATGAATAAAGAATGGTGAGTTTTTCTATATTTTAATTAGTTAGTAATATTCATTTAATTCATACTTACCTGTTAGTCGTCGGGGAAAAAACCGTGGGGGAAGATATCGTGAATTAGTTCTGAAGTTGTTAGTAGTTTAGCTAAGATGCGGATGATATTTTTAGTTTGAAGCAGTGGCCAAAGCAATTGAAGTGCCTTAATAGTGGTTAGTTCTTCAGTGCCTACTGCAAACTCATAAGGTGTGTTTTGGATTAAGTTATATAATTTGTGGTTAAATTTAGTGTTGTGGATGAATTCTAAAATTGGGATCTCTATAGGCTGTACAAACTCGTGCGGGATAAGGAAGGGTCGGGATTCTTCTGCGTTGAAGGTCTTGGTGATGGGGCAGAAAATGTACATTTGGGTTATGGGGTCATAATTACGAAGAATACCATGAAGGTTAGTGTCTTTAATACAATATGTGAAATTTAGGAAATACGGTGAAGTGTATTTTGAATTGATGAATTGAAAGCGATGGTGTGGTTGTCTAGAGGGTGTGTGGAGGTCAAAGTGATTTTGGATGAAACGATAGTAACTGTATGTATGTGTTTGTTTAGTTCGCAACATAATATCGTGTGAGCAGTGTAGATCTCTTTCGTGTGGTGCAAGGAAATGAAAGGTTAGTGAAAAGATTTGGAAGCGTTCTTTAAAACTTTCGTACGCTTGTGTGCTTGTTAGTGCTTCTGAAATAATGTGATCAAACTTTCGGTCGAAGATGTTTAGTGTAAATACATATGGTGTCTTGATGAAAAATTTCTCGGTGATTTGTGGGTTAGCGAAGCGATCGTCGTCTAAGAATTGATCTTGGTTAGCTCTGATGATGTTGTGATCATAGTATTCTAGTGTGTATTCGTTAGCTCTAGGTGCAGTGTGTATTTTTAGTGATTTTTTATATCCAACGTAAGTAAATTGTCTAGCGGTGAGTGGTGTAGTTAATCGATATAGCATGTCTTTGTTTTGGTCTATATCGATGGATGTGTTAGTTAAAGGTAAGCAAAGAGGGTTAGTGAAATGATAGTATGAGGTCCAAGAGAGAGTGGGCATTAAAACGTATTCGTCTACAAAGTTGCGTGTTTCGTTAGCGTCATGAGGGGTGTTTAAGGTGTATTGTGGAAATGAGGGTAAAGTGATGGCTAAAAATTCTCTAGTGTTAGTATGTTGGGGGTGGTTGATGTATTCACGGGCTGTTCCTGGTTTTGCTGGGAAAGGGTGGTTGGGGAACTTTCTTTTAAAAGTGCGGTAAGCTCTATTAGTGTTGAGTGAGGATTCAGTTGATGTGGATGATGGTGCTAATGATTCGGTATAATTTGAAGAGGGTGTAGGGGGATTGGATGAATTGGTAGTGGAGGAGATTTGGTTTATGGTCGGGGTGTTAAGGTGGTAGGGTTGTTGTTGGAGGGTAATAAAATTGTCTAGCTCTGGGGAGATTCGGGGGGTGTCTGGAGATGATTGGTCAGAATGGTATGAGGAGTAGGTTGGGGTAACTTGGGAAGCATAAGAGGGTGTAGGAGTGATGGGGTCAGGGTTATTTGACAATATGGGTTGAAAAGGAGGTTGAGAAAAATGAGAAGGGTTATGGAAATTATTGGATGGAGATGGTTCTGAGTCGGCAAATTCGTCGGGGGTTTCAATATTCGGGTTATTTAGCTGTGAAATGGAGTATAAAACTGAAATTTGTGAGTTAGTGTCGGAATTCATGCCTGATGTTACATTGCTAGATGGAAAATCGGGTGGCGGAAAAGCAAAAAGTGGTATTATTGGGATTGAAGAGGTAAGGTTGGTTGGATGGGAATTTGATCGATGGAGTGATCCAAGTTGGCGGCTCATCGTGGGCTAAAAAAATTATTATTTTGAGATTGAAAAGCGGTGGTATGGGGCTGTTCAATAATTTGTTCATAAGTATTATCATCTTGTGATGGATGTGTCATTATATGTTGGACGGGACTTTGTGATGTGGTGAGTCTAAAATTTGGATTATGTGTGATTGCTAAATTTCTAAAATTTCGCGGGGCTAGGGATAGTGGATGGTTATTTGGTAGGGGTGGTAATTGTGGTGCCGTTGGCTGTGTGTCGACATTGTTATGTTCTTCGTCGTATGTATTTTGTCGTGTTGTTATTTTTGTGTTATATTCTTTTATTTGTGCGTCTA